TTTTACATGTTATATAAACCCATTTTTGACTACAGTCTGTTCGCTATACTTACGCGGGTTTCGGATTAACAAAATTATGCAAATTAATCATTGACAACCAGTTCCAATAAGCCTCTTCCCAAGAAATTAGGTAAAATTGCCCTAATGGTCAGATTTAAATTAAAATAACATTAGGGTAGGTACTAAATTTGTTACAAATACTGCACTTGAATTGATTCTTTGCAAGTGTTGACATTGTATGTATATTGTAAATTTAGTGGAAATTTTAAAAATGCCTTAACGTGTGTTAGATGTAGATAGTCTAATTTGTAGTGTACATAAGTATTTTACGGATGAAAAAAAAAAATGGCGGTCTTTTAAAATCGGTAATGTCTGTACAACAACGCGTATGCGATGTTCTAGGAATTAGTGACACCAGATTAAGAGGAGTATTACAAAATCACAATAGTGAAATGCCGAAAGAAGATCACCGCAAAACTCGCCTATCATTGGAAACGAAAGATATTCCAGATGGAAAGAAATTTGAAATTCGTGATACCATTTATCGAATGAGGGCCAACAAGGAACATGTGATCTTAAATACAATTCTCTCGGAATTAATAGATATACAATGTGACGACATTGGCAGAACAAGTCTATGGCAACTTGGGTTTCAAATTTCAAAAGGAGGATAACAGAAAGGCCCTTTGTGAAAGAAGTTCTGTCGTGCACAAGAGAATTAACTTTCTAAGAAAATATTCTAAATTTAAAGAAGAAGGGGCGAATTTTATATATTTAGACGAAACATGGATATTTTCTAGGGGTGCAACCAAGAGAATATGGCAAGATGATAACGTAAAGTCCATCAAAAATACCGATGGAGAAGGGAAGCGACACATAATTTTACATGCAGGATTTAAATCGGGTTTTATAGAAGATGCTGATTTAATATTTTCATCTAAATCAAAATCCAGTGACTATCACGATAATATGAACACATAAATGTTTGTGAAATGGTTGAATGAAAAACTTCTCTCCCAGGTTTAAGTGAGCCCAGCGTAAGTATTTTAGACAATGCACCTTACCATTCTGAAGTATTAAACAAAAGTCCAACAAGTTCTTGGACTGTTGATAAAATTAAAGAATGGTTGACAAAGAAACATATATCATTTCCTCAATATATATTAAAATCATAATTATTACACTTGGCAAATATACACGCAAAACCAAAAACCTCTGTTGTGTATCAAATTATTGAAAGTTACGGTCATCAAGTTTTACGTCTACCACCGTATCATTGCCAGTTTAATCCCATCGAATATATATAGGGAATAGCAAAACAATATTATGACAACCATATTGGGCCTAATGGTTATAGTGACGACGCAGTTCGGGAAACTTGGCGAAAAGCACTTTCAATTGCAACTCCAGAAGTGTGGCGGAACTGTATATCTAAGTGCGAGAAACTAATAGAAGATTGTGGACTCGTGAAAATAAAATAAACGAAATAAGTCCAATCATAATAACAATTAATGGTGATGACAGTGATGATGACAATTATGATATTTTGGATGATAATGACTGATTTTCATTTTTTTTTGGCAATTTTTTTATTTTTCAATATTACTTGCTTATATTGAACCTAAAAAAATAACAAAAGCATACAGACCTATTAAAATATTTTAAATAATTTTGTGCAATATAAAACGTTTAAAAATTGTACATGTCACTCAAATTAACAAAAAACAAGAGTTGAATACATGTTTGGTGAAAGTTTAAATATATTTTGTACTTTTTGTCCTCCCTTATCTAATTTCCTAGTTCTTTCAGGTTCATTTCTGACGTTACAGTTCTTTGGATTAGTAAAGGGGTTCTTTTTATGCATTTTTATCAATACATGTCTTGAATATCCCTTAATTTTTATATAATTTTGTAAATACAACTGGACCATGTAATTAAATTATTTACTTCGTCGTACACAATAGTATTAACGTGTAATAAAATCATATTAATGTTCTAGGGCAGTGGTTCTCAAACTTTTTTGGTGACTGAACCTTTTTGAAAAGCGAAATATTTGACGGAGCCCTAAACACATTTCCAAAAAAAAGTCCATATCGTCCTTCCTCTTAGTGACTTCTAACTAACTAAAAAAAAAAGGTTCTTAAGCCAAGTCCCTCCCTTGCAACGATCCTACTGCTTTTTTTATTATGACTATTATTTCGCGGAGCCCCCACAAAGGATTTGCGGAGTTCCAGGGCTCCGCGGACCATCAAAATTTAAAATATTACGTACAGTCTGTTCGCTATACTTACGTGGGTATCGGATTAAAAATTTTATGAGTATTTTCAGGTAAGTACCCGAAAGTTTGACCTGTTCTTTGGAGAAATATCAACAGGTAAAATGAAATGAAAAATAATGTACAACTTTTTAATTAAATAATAATGGAGAATCTTTTGTATAATTGAGAGCAGAATTAAACTTCTTCATTAATGGAGTCTAATGTGGCTATTATAAACCTAATAATAATTTTATATTACACTTCACACAGAAAATGTGGCCTATGTATAATAAGAGGGTTATTTAACTTAGTTTAGCTTAGCTATTTAGTTTAGTTATTGAACTTATTTCGTTTATTTTATTTTTACGAGTCCACCAATCTTCTATTAGTTTCTCGCACTTGGATATACAGTTCCGCTACACTTCTGGAGTTGCAATTGAAAGTGCTTTTCGCCAAGTTTCCCGAACTGCATCGTCACTATAACCATTAGGCCCAATATGGTTGTCATAATATTGTTTTGCTATTCCCCATATATATTCGATGGGATTAAACTGGCAATGATACGGTGGCAGACGTAAAACTTGATGACCGTAACTTTCAATAATCTGATCCACAACAAAGGTTTTTGGTTTTGCGTGTATATTTGCCAAACGTAATAATTCTAATTTTAATATATATATTGAGGAAATGGTATATGTTCCTTTGTCAACCATTCTTTAATTTTATCAACAGTCATTGGACTTTTGTTTGATACTTCAGAATGGTAAGGTGCATTGTGTAAAATAATTACGCTGGGCTCACTTAAACCTGGGAGAAGTTTTTCATGCAACCATTTTACAAACATTTCTGTGTTCATATTATCGTGATAGTCACTGGATTTTGATTTAGATGAAAATATTAAATCAGCACCTTCTATAAAACCCGATTTCCCTACTGCATGTAAAATTATGTGTCGCTTCCCCTCTCCATCGGTATGTTTGATGGACTTTACGTTATCATCTTGCCATATTCTCTTGGTTGCACCCCTAGAAAATATCCATGTTTCGTCTAAGTATATAAAATTCGCCCCTTCTTCTTTAAATTTAGAATATTTTCTTAGAAAGTGAATTCTCTTGTGCACGACAGAACTTTTTCCACAAAGGGCATTTCTGTTATCCTTCTTCTGAAATTTGAAACCCAAATTATGTATTACATTGCCATAGACTTGTTCTGCCAATGTCGTCAAATTTTTTATCTATTAATTCTGAGAGAATTGTACTTAAGGTCACATGTTCCTTGTTTGCCCTCATTCGATAAATGGTATCACGAATTTCAAATTTCTTTGCATCTGGAATAACTTTCGTTTTCAATGATGGGCGAGTTTTGCGGTGATCTTCTTTCGGCAGTTCACTATTGTGATTTTGTAATACTCCTCTTAATTTAGTTTCACTAATTCCTAGAGCATCGCATACGCGTTGTTGTACAGACATTACCGATTTTAAAGGACCGCCATTTTCTTTTTCATACGTAAAATATTTAAAATGTCCACTAAATTTACAATATACATACAATGTCAACACTTGCAAAGAATCAATTCAACTGCAATATTTGTAACAAATTTAGTACCTACCCTAATGTTATTTTAATTTAAATCTGACCATTAGGGTAATTTTACCTAATTTCTTGGGAAGAGGCTTATTGGAACTGGTTGTCAATGACTAATTTGCATAATTTTGTTAATCCGAAACCCGCGTAAGTATAGCGAACAGACTGTAACATGTAAGGTCCTCCTAAAATTTTAAATTTATTATGTAACATAATGGGAAATATTTATTATTTATTATAAAACTATGGTTTCAGAACAATGCAAAAATTTGATCTCTTTTTACGCATAAAAATTTTTATACATAGAAAAGCATATTCAGCAAAATTTAAATACCAGTTACATAACAAGTAAGTTTCACCACCAAATTTTTAAATTTGTCTACAGTAAAATTATTTATAAATATTGTTCCTGTTTTCGCTGAGAGTAATTGATAGTGTTGACACTACTATAACAGTAAACGATGTTTTAATTTGAAATAATAATAATAATAATAATAACCTTTTAAGATAAAATTAAACTGTAGTTTAACAATTGAGGCTGTGTGCAATAACTTGCCTTATTTTAAAACAGTTTTTGATCTTCCAAACTTTTAGAATTTGAGTTGGTTCACTCTGCATTTAAAATAGTTTTATTTCTTTGGTGGGTTTTCATAATTGTATAAAAACTTTATTTAATACAACAGATTAAATAGAAAAAATATTGAAATTATTAGAATTTCTAAACCTCTTCATCGTTGATTGTTCTTAAGATTTTTGTAGAATTCCTGATGTATGGTCTTTCTTATTATTTCCATTATTTACTTGTAAACAGATTTCCTTTTATTAATATCCACTGCTTCAAAATTAATCTCTTCTTTGTTTGTATGCTTATATTGAATCGGGTTAAAAAAGTCTTTTCAAACTTTAATCATTGGATTAATTTTTAAATGCTTGGTCAGACCACTGGTTCGGTCGGTACTAAGAAAAATCAAAGTTGGTTTCAACGCATATCGTCACCTATGAGATAAACAGAAGTGTATTCAGTGAAATTTGGTTTTTATTCATCAGTGACGTGTGTATTAATTTTCCATTGCTATGTTGTCAGATACAGATCAGTGGTTCACAAAAAAAATTGAATTTAAATAGTTTGGGAAGCAAAATACATTTTTTTACTTTTTAGGTGATGAACCTTTAACTTTCATGTTTCCGGTGGAGGGATCTAATTCTAAATTCATAGCAGGTATTAGCAGAAAATTTGCCTTTGTCGAATGGGATGGAAAAAGCCCAAAACCTTCCAAAATTGAAACCATAGCCGAAGTGGACACAGATCCTGATGCGAAGGGGAACAGGCTAAATGGTGGAAAAGTCGATCCATGGGGCAGACTATGGGCTGGTAAATGACATAATTAGGTCCATTTTGGTTCATTTTCCTCAACATCTAAATTATTTCTATGTTTTAGGAACAATGGGTCCTTCTGACGCTAACGGCGACGTTATACCACATAAGGGAGCATTATACAGCCTAAACAAAGGAGTTGTGACAAAACACAAATGCAACATAGGCATATCTAATGGTTTAGCTTGGGATACAACAAAGATGAAAATGTATTATTGCGATACCATGGAACCCAAGATTTTTCAGTATGATATTTCTAAAGATGGCAAAATAAGTTGGTATTCTTGAATATTAAAATTTGCAACTCTAAATTTTTCGAAAAGTATTAAATAGATGTTGGCGATGTTTCCATAATAACACATCATATATAGCTAGTATAATTCTTGAAAAACAAAAATGTGGTGTTTTCTTGTTAAATTTCAAATTTAAACTCAAATTTTGTTAAGGTTACAACACAAAATAAAAATTAATTTTAAATAACATTCTACTGTACAACTTCTTTCATTCATATTTTTTTTATCTTTTTCCTTTTTTTTAGGCAACGAAAAAGTGATTTTCGAATATGGCAACAAATTGGAAGGAAAACCTGATGGATTAACCATTGATAAAAATGGAGATCTTTGGTTAACTTCAATTTTTGGATCAACAGTTTGCAAAATCGATCCAACTAATGGAAACATCAAAGAAAAAATTGTTTTCCCCACTTCACAGGTATGTTTTATTTAGTTAAGGCTTTTCCGCCACTTCGAGATGATTATTGAACATAATACGAACAGTAAAATCCTTTTATTATGGTCTATTTTTATGTATGAGAGTATTAAAATAATAAAGCGTTCTTAATCCATAGGCCTACCACTTCTTTTAGTAGACAGTTAAAATATTTTTTGAAGTTATTCCTCGAGTATACACTTATATTTTCACCTAATTAACCTGCTTATAACTTCTAAACAGCTGAAGGTAAAAAAGTGCAATTTTTTCTAAAATGTTTTATTTTTCCACAAGGTATGTTAAGAACATTGTGTCAAACGGGTTATGTAAGTATAAGGGTTTAAACTTTGACTTTTAAACAACGTTACGTTCATAAATAATAATTTTAATATAAAAACTACTTCTTACCTACAAATCCAAATCAGAATCGAAATCAAAAGATGAACTGTCGCAACCAATATTTACAATGAGTGGCTCGATCATTTCATCAGTAATATGTCCAACTTCCACATTTTCTCTTCTTCTTTAATCGTATGATTTACTGCCTTTTCCCAGTTTTCAGGCTTCACATTATTTACAGCCTCCAAAACAACTGTTTAACATCACTCATTTTAAAAGAATTATTTTTTCTTGAAACTTCTCCCTTTATCTGTGCCCATATCAGTTCAATCGGGTTTACTTCGCAATGATATGGTGGTGATCTAACCACCGTCATCCCACGATTTTTTGCAATTTCATCAATTTCATATTTTTTGAATTTCTCTTTATGAAGGGAACACAAATGATACAGTTCTTTTCTCACAGAACCGGGATGGAACTTAATATTCTTTGAATTTAGCCAATTCTGTAAATCTTTTTTTAACCACTTGGTTTTGGGCATTTTTTCTATAAGTCTCGAGTGATAACTTGCATTATCCATTATTATTATACAGTTCTGAGGAAGAAGATCTATAATTTGTTCGAACCACTCTTTAAAGACATCAGCATTCATGTCCTCATGGTAGTCACCGGTACGAATAGATTCAAAAGTCAATAAACCACCTTTAACAAAACCGTTTGAACTACCGAAGTGTACTATTATTAGTCTGCGCCCCTTTCCTGATGGTGGATTTAAACCAGTAGATAAATTATTTAAAAAAGCCTGTCTTCGACTTGTAACAGTTTCATCTTGCCAAAATATATTTGGTTTATGTCCCTCGTTGATCCATGTTTCATCTAAATAAAATATATTTCTTCTTTGGTTTCTCATTTCTTTTATAGTCCTTAGGTAATTTCTTCTCTATACTACAATATCGCTTCTTTCTATTAAAATAGACTTTCTGGAATGCTTTTTCCATAGAAAACCTATTTCTTTTAAAAGTTTCCATAGTATGCTTCGACTCAAATCAGGGTAATCCTTATCATCTCGAACCGTGGCAAGAACTTTGTCTACTGTCGGAAATTCTTTTCTAAAGAAGAACGCATGCACTTTCCTTCGAAGTCTTTCTTTCAAAAGATTTTCTAATTGAAATTTTGGTTTTCCTGGAGCTTTACGTGCTGTTTATAATTCGCCACATTTCTCTTCTTTAACAACTCTGTAAATCGTAGATTTCCCAACACCAAGCGTACTACTAACTAATTCCACTGTGTCATCAACACTTTTACATAAATATTTGTCTGTAAATGATTTAAAACAATTAAATATTAATGTTTTTTCATTAACTGTTAAAGGACCAATTTTTTGTCGTTTACGCGGCCCTTCCAAATTTTCCATGATCACACTAGAATTCACACTGCACCTTGCAAGTTGCAACTAAACATTTAGTAAACTGTCAAGAATACACAACTTGGACCTCCTTACTAAATGGAAAACCTATAATCGCATTTTCGGTGAAATTTGTTGGGAAGGTATTTATCTACTTATAATTCGATTACTGTAAGAAATTCTTGGAATTAAAATAAAACAAAATTGGCAAATAGGTACTTATTGAAAATAATCTTAAGATACGGCTATGTAATCTTTAATACACAGGGCTTTTGGCCTGTCCAAACCTTTTTCTATTGTTCTGTACAGCTTATGTTTATAAAGGACCAATAAAAGACCCAAAACTTGTAATAGCTCAGGTACATTTATTACAATTTTAGGAAATATTTAGATTATTCTGTAAAAATATTTAAAATGACCGTACTAAGTTTTGCATTAGAAATGCTGTTTTATTACTCTCTCATACATAAAAATAGACTATAACAAAAATTCGATCTGGAACATTGGCAAAAACAATGCGATTTTCGGAAAGAAAAAAAAATGTCTTAAAGGCAGTGGTGTAGCCACCTGGGATTTAAAGATCGGAACCCCCCCATGGAGGGTCCTGGCGTTCCCATTTCTGCTATAGTATTGGCGCTAATCGCTATTGATGACTGTTTTTATACACTTTCTTGATGGAACCCCCTCATAGTTCTCAAAAACCCCTCCCATGAAAAATGGCTGACTACGCCACTGCTTAGAGGACTTAGATAAACATTAGTTCGAGGATTTAAAATAAGGTTTTGAAAAAAGGTTAGGTGTATCAAGACGGTTATTTATTTTTTAACATTTAGACCAATTTTTAATATTTTATTATGTAACCTACCTATCTATTTTTTTTTGTAATTTAATACAATTTTCTTATTTGTAGCCTACATCAGTGACTTTCGGTGGTAAAGATCTTGACGAAATGTTCGTTACAACAGCACTAATTCCAGTAGCTGGAAAAATTCCACCACCTCCTGCCGGTACCACCTACAGGATCAAAGTGGCAGGAACCACTGGCCTTAAGGGAGATAGATACAAACCATAACTTTATTTTGTGTAACTTGTTTAAATTTAAAATATAAATGTTTGTTTTAAAATTTGCGATTTTATTAAATTTCCTTTTAATCACAAACTCTCTTATGGTGATATAAGTAAAAACATTAATATTTTAAGCATTAATTGGTAACCACAACGTTTCCGGCAGCTTTTAAGCTACCATTTCGCAAGCCGAGACAGAGACCGACTTCAAAACGCGCCGCGACACTAAACGGTCGCTTCACGTCTGAACCCATGTAATTACAAGAAACACATTTCGCCGACGCGACCGAGAAGTGTCGCTTCACATCTAAAATATATACAATTATATGAAACACATTTCGCACGGCGAGACACTTCCTGGAGACACTTCTGAATCTGACTCGGGGCAAAGGTTTGCTGCCTGTCGCACTCGAGGTCACTGTCCTCGAGCATCGCTTGGAGGTGAATAGATTGAAAATTTCTTTCGATCTAGGCAGTGTTGCCAGATTTTGGAACAGTATGGGTGAAAAAAAAAACCGTAGATCTTGAACAGTAGATTTTAATACAGGGGGAAATAATTGAAATTTGCAGTGTAGTAAATAAAAAAACAAGTATATAAGAAACGAAAAATGAACTTTTTTCGACCTAAATTAGAAGGTAAAAAAAGAATAAACACAAATAACATTTTTAATATATACTTAACGTACGGAAACAAAAAAAAAACAATGAAAAATAATAGGTACCTACTTCTTTTAAATCAGTCTGAATAAGATAATTCAAAATCGTAGTGTGCATGTTCTTTTTATGATGCCCTATTAATTCTTTGTTTCATTTTAAATAAAAACAATGATTATCTTGATGTTTTTTTTTTATATGGTCCCAACCTAGAGTAGTGGATGCTTATTACGCTACTTTTACAGCAGAAAATTTACTAGAGAAAATATTCTTCAACAATTTGCTGAAGAATGAGGCAAACTGAATAAATTAAGAACAAAATTTGCTAGAGACAAAAACAGTGGATCTACGTGAAAACAGTAGGTCTGGCAACGTTGATCGTTCCCTCGAATGGTTATCCAAGCTTGCGAAATGTACCAAGCGTAACATTTATGCATCTGTCGTCCTACTCGACCTTGGGGTCGCATCACTGGTCGCTTGTCTCTTGACGCGCCTACCCAAATGGTACCTTTAGAGTTTTCCCCTCCGCAGACTGAACGATTAGGCGTATCAAAAAGGGTTTTTAGAGGAGATTCGCTTCATCGAACATTCTTGTTAATCGGTAAAATGAAGGCAGTAAGAAAGCTCAAATAGGACAGAAAGGGAATTAGAGCAGGACTGGACTAGCCGAAAATAGCTCGAATGACAAAATAATTACTATTTTCTTGTTTTTTACATGTTCATTTTGATTATGACGTCAATACTTTTCGATTATGATGTCATCACCATTTTTTTTTTAATAGTACTAAAGTGTAAGTTTTATTGCGTATAGACAACAAATTTCGTGTATGTTGCAACACAATATTTTCGGTTGTAAACGATTATATATTCATTTTCTTTCTTTAAGAATATAGACGTTCTTATATAATGTTGTCTTGTTGCCTTGTAAGACGAAATATAATGACGAAAAATTGTTTAAATTTAACAATGATATCTCAGAAAAAAAATTGACCGAGTGCAAATCGTACTCGGGCAATATAGTGTTTCGTACCGTAGTTGTTTCTTGATTTTCTATAAAAATCTGATGTTACCAACACATGACTTTCCTGTCAATAGAATCTTCGTCCCCCTTAAGAGTTAATTCGAAAGTCTTAAATAAAAAGTAACGCAAAAGAACGTATTATAATTTTTTGAAATCGTGCTTCAACAAGCTTCACTCTTAATATTATTTACAATATCTATATCTAAAAATTTTTTTTTGGGCTTTGTCAAATATTTGGTATTAGTGCATTATAGCACTGGAAAACAAACATTACAAACCTCGCAAGCATGTAGGGTGTAGTCAACCACTCCAAGTCATCAGAATCATATACATATTCTTTATCGTCAACGGTATTCTCGTCGCCTACTTCCTCTTGCTCCATTTCTACCCTTCCCCTGTCGTCCTCTCTCTCTTCCTTCAGCTGTATTTCGGCCTCCTCGCTTTGCAACCCTTCTGTCTCTTCTTCCACCTCTAATTCTTCCGGGAATATACCTTCATTTCTTTTATAATTTGAACATTGTGTCAACTGACACGAACCACAGATGGACGAGCATTTCAGACCTGTTTTCAAACATGAACAATTCTTTTCGCAGCCTCTCTTATACTGACAAAAAATCATCTTCAAGAGTTCCGGTGGGGCCGGATCCTGTGTGGTCTGGACCGGTAATAGCATTTCCCCTGCACGTTTCCAGCCCCATTCCTCTGGTGACAGTTCAATCCCCAGCCGATTCTGTACTTGTAAATATACCCTATAAAAGTGCTGCCTAGCAGCTTCAGCGGTAGGGGGCAAGCATTCTAGTTTTATTGCAGTTTTGTTTGTGGACAAGTGGTTGAAAGTCCAGGACCGGGCGGCCTGGAGAATCTTTATTTCCGCTGGCAATTTGTAAATCGACAGCAAAACAGTTTCTCCGATCGCGAATATAGTCTCTCGAGGAAGGTTCTGATTTTTAAAAGATTCAATGGTAATTTTGAGTTTATGGAGTTGAGCGTTTTCCCCCATCACAAACTTGACACTACTGACTTTTCCCTTTTCTGAAAAAAGCAGAGGTTGTATCGCTCCCAGTCATTGCATACAAAAACAGAATGTTGTCTCTCATAAAGGGATGCGCATCCAGGCTCCTGGAAGAGTACACCTGGTCGGTCTTATTTCCCTTGGCAGCTTTTAAGAAATAAATTGTCCGGTGTTCTGGAGTCCCGGGGCTCGGACTCAAATGGGGGCCCGGCAGCGGGTATAAGGGGGGCCCGGCAACCGGATATTTATGGGTTTCTATCAGAAGTTCGGCACAAGACGAGAGAGGGATTTTTTTTAGAAAATTCAATTCAAATATAGAGAAGGAAAAGTTTTTTGTTTGAAGAGCTTTTTTTGTCATCTATAGAATCTATAGAATTGTCCTGGGGTCCGGCCTGGCTCTCGGCGGCCCTGCTAGGATGTCAATGTCCTCTGCCACTACTACTACTACTGGTAGGTCATCTACAGAGTCTTTTTGGAGCGCTGTTTGTACAATTAATGAATCTGCATCGTCCAAAGCGGCTCCAATAGGAGCCGAATTCATTTCAAAGCTGAAACTGGCTTACACCTTCCATTTGGCGGCGAAAGAGCTCACCACAAGAGCTATTGTGAGGCTTTTTTCAGTAATTCGCCTTTGGGGTGCCGTTCTTGAAACGGTTAAAGTACCAAAAACTAAACAAGTTTACTTATTAATTTTATTATCATTCGGTAATCCATATGAACCAGTGTCACTTCACTTCCCTTTACTTTTTAAACACTACCAATACCAAATAATATTTTTGTTACTTTCAGATCATGTAACTGGTTAATAATGATAAATACCTCCAATTTTGGTTAACTCTGCCATGGTGTACATTTCTTCCCCAGTTTCCATAATATAAGCAACAATTATCTCAATTTGTGCTTGGGTCCTTGGGTCGTCCCTTTGGTTTAGCCTTACCAGAAGCTTTTTCAAGACAATTGATAGAATGCCAGTCGACAGACTTCGTGATATCTTGCATCAACAACTGAGATCGATCCCAGAAATTATTTCTAGCGTCGCTTGATACTTGTATATATCAATATGAGCTGTGATCTGATTCAAAAGTGTGGTCTTGAATTCTGTGTTCGAAACAAGTACGATGGTACGCTTCTTTACCAAACTGCTCTTTCTTTTCTCCTTTTCTATCGAACCAGGTAACTGACCGAACAAACAATTGTTTTTGAAGTCAAAGCCACTATGGGATCGAGCGCTTCTTTTGTCTCTTCAGGCTCGTTAAATGGTCCAACCGTCTTGAAGAGTGCTTGCCAAACGTGTTGTACGCGAACTTGCATCGAGATTTAATAATATAGCCGGTCCCTACACTTGTGCAATCGTACAAAGGATTGTTTCTGGAGAAATAGGTGAAAATTATCGCATCTCTTCTTGCTCACTCCAATAAAATTTTCTAAACCAAGAGCTACCAAAAAATAGAACAATTACACCAAGTTTTTAAAGTTGAGGCAAAATAAAACAAACCCGAGAACAAACCTTATTTTCTGCTTCCAACAAAAAAATCCTTGAATATTATTTCTTGTAGACAAGAATAACGTGGAAATTTCTCACTTTAAACACTTCTTCTTTTTTTTTATAACTGAATTAATTTAATGAAAAATATTTATTTTATTTTAAATAAATAATTCAAAAGTATCATCAGTACCAATAATCTGGTCAAGCCGACCACTCCAAAACAGAAATTGTATACAAACACATGCAGACAACTATCGCTGCGTGGGTACACGAGGTTAGGTTATATACAATATCATGGTTCTCAGAGGGGGAGCGTAAAAATTAATTATATAATTGTAACAACCTTTTTAGAACCAAGAACGAATATGGGGATTGACTTATATCAATGGAAAGGTCAGAATACAAGCTTTACTTTGATCTAGTTATTAATCCCCAAAAAATAAAGAGCGAGGAACAAAAAAATGGTTAAACAAAAAAGGCCGGTTTTGACTCGTGTGATCAATTTTTCTCATTTCTTGAAAATTAATAGACTCTATTGAAAATAAAAAAAATATATTCGAAAAGTAGACCATCTAAGCTTTAAAAATTAAAGAATCAGTTTCTAAATATTGTTGACAAAAACCTTGACCGCTTTTTTAAATATTTTTGGCAAATACGAACTGACTTCAAGTTACATGGAATTGTAGCTACGGGTTTTCCCATTGCGATGAACTTTGAATCATCGAAAAATATCAATTTTTTCCCGAGATATGGAACAATTCGTCCGCCCGCTTACACGTTAATTCATAGGAAGCGGAATTCCTGCAGGTAGAGCAGCAGCTGAAATGAGGGGACTTTTGAGTGCCACTATCTCTAAAACTATTGAATTTTCGAAGAAAATGATAAGGGCCATTTTTGTAGATAATGAGCTGATCTTCATTTTTTATCTGAACAAAAATTCTCTAATTTGCATATTCAGTCAGATATTAGCGGGAAACCCATTTTTCAGGTTTTAGGGGTCCATTTTCAGCCCCTTCCGGTATTAAGAACGCTTTAAGGATTTTCTCGTTTAAAAACACCTGCGATGACCTACAAATTGCGCTATGTGGGAACTCATCAGCGAATTTTCTACAGGTTTGACCCTTCAGTTACTGGACTATAATAAAAAGAACCGACAAGCAATGTCACCTCCAAGAAGTAATGCATATTATTTTCTATTACTTTCTTTAAATTTTAATACATTTTTATTGATACCAGATATATATTTTTTGTTTAATATGTACTTAAAACAAGAAAGTATCGATACTATTCCTAGTGGGATAACAATAATTTTTAAGTCTTTTTCAGAGTTAAAAAAGTAATGCAAACATATATTTTTGACATATTTTTTATTCACTCACAAAACTAAGCCCTGAATCATTTTCATTCAATCTACACCTATACTTTCAACAATGTTTTTTTTTTAGCATTACTTTTGGAGATAAGTAGGGAGACAGCAATTTTTTAAGCGTTACACTTTTGAAATCATGCTTAAACGAGTTTTCAATTGAAATCCCACACTAAAAGTTTGTTTCAACAACGGTCAGGAACCAGTTATTGACACCAGGATTCTGCGCAGTTTATAATTTGGCTGTCGAAATAATCAACTGCGCAGAATCCTTGTGTCAGTGACTGGTTTCTGATCGTTGTTGAAACAGACCTTTTGACAATATTCTAATTTAACTTTCAGCAAAGATTCAATCTACACCTTATGCTCCAATGAGCTTCCATTTAAAATCCTACACCATGTTATCAGTTTTTTTTTTTTAATTTATCTACTTTCTAAAACTGACCCACCTAACCTCCCAAAAAAAAAAAAATAATGTTCGTTCAATTCAACTTTATTCTCAACATACTTGTATTTTTTTTAAATTTTTTCTCAAAAAATTGTTAAAGAAAAAATAAGTTAAAGCATTTTTTACAAGCTTTCATTTTATACCACATGAAGGAATCAGCAAAAAATTCTAAATTCCAAATTACTCCCCCCTCAAAATTGACCCAAAGAAAAAAAAAATGTACTTTTTTAGGTAAACGTCTTTATTTGGGCCACAACTGTTAGAAATTTCATTTGCTTACATCAAATATTCTTAAAAGTAAAATGTCTACATTTATTTTATGAAATTAAGGATGGAATACAAAAAAAATAACACTTCATATAGGACTATTAAAGCAAATTTAAAAATACTTAGAAGTTCTTTCAATAAAAACATAGGTATTAAAATAAAGCAACACCATTGTTTTAAATACATTTAATGGTACAAATTTCTGTAATGAAAGTTATTTTACTAAAAAAAATTATCAAGTATATAAAAACGAAAAATATATCATGCAGTGGTCCAAATTTTCTTTTACACCTACCATTTATTCACAAAATTAAAAAATACTTCTTCAACAATTGGCAAATAGATTGTTTAAAATATAAAATGAGATTTTTAAGAGTCATCTGGAGTATGCCAAGTAATGCGTTCTTCATAAAATTTGATGACAACTTGAGGGCATTTAGAATTGGCCTCCTTGGCGTAAACCAAATCAGTTTCATCAGTGCCCTTCCATTTCATGAGGAACATCAGCTGACCAGTGGTATCAGAAGCACCAATAATCTTTTCGGCATCAAATCCCTTTTCAAATGCAGACTTTTCTTTATCTTTAGATTTGGGGCCACTTTTTCTCTCCTTTGTATCAGATTTTTTTGTTTTTTTGACTTCATCATCAGATTCGTCTGCTTTTTTCTTTGAGTCCCTTTTACCTTTCTTCTTCTGTTTTTCATCATCATCTGAATTATCAGATTCAGTTTTAGATTTTGGACCACTTCGTCTCTTTTTCTTCTTTTCTTTTTCCTTTTCCTTATCCTCATCATCTGAATCATCAGAGTCTTTTACATCCTTCTTTGATTGTGGACCAACTCTTCTCTTCTTTTTCTTTTTGTCATCATCTGAGTCACCTTCCTTTTTTGCTTTTGACTTCTTCTCATCTTCAGAGTCTGAGTCTTTAGATTTTTTCTTAGATTTCTTGTCTTCATCTGAGTCATCTACTTTTGACTTCTTTGATTGGGATTCATCTTCTGAATCGGATTTAGCCTTGGATTTTTTCTGAAAATAAAATGGATTGTAAATTTAATTTTTGTATTTCTATTTAAATTACGCTAAATACATCCCAACATAGAAAAAATCCAAAGAGTAAACAATTTAAACTTGATTATTTCAAAATAAAAATGCATGCTTGTCATCAAGATAATACAGATTTCTGTAATTAAAAATAATTTAAAACATTTTTAATAGTGATTTCTTTATCTCTAGAACAAAAATGCTCATAGAAGTGATATTGGTAGGTATTTAAACCCCTTTAAAAATAATAATTAATATATACTAATTTTTGCAACCTTTCTTTCAATTACATACCTTCTTAGATGCAGATGTATCAGAATCTACTGATGAAGTCGAATTGTCTCGGTTCCTTTTTTTATCTTTGCCCTTTGCAGCTAATTTAGCTCTGCGATTCTTTTCGAATTCCGCAATGAGTTCGGGACAATCTAGATTATCGTCCGGCTCCCAGGTATTGTCGTCTTCTGAATAACCTTTCCATTTGAGAAAATACTCTACTTTTCCATCTACTACTCTCCTATCTATAATTCTTTCGACAGAGTATTCCTCCTCGCTTTCACTGTCTGTAACTTCTACCTTCTTTTTACCCATATCTAAAAAAATGCCAATAATCAGTAAATTTTTCAATTTAAAAATGGCTATACCGGTAACGAAAAATGCCCATTATCTTCTATAAAATGTTGGAATTTAATAATACAAAATAAATATACCTTTCTGTTTTTGTAATTACACGATTATAACAAATCTCCAAAACCTAAGTTGAAACACAAACGCTACAGGATAAATAATAATGCTCGATGCTCGATGTTAACGCGTCCCTTTCACTTCACAAGTAAAATGGCGGCAACTCACAGAACACTCACGACTCACGTACCAGAATGCCAACTGCCATCACAAAACGCTAACGCTAACTTCAGGAGTGCGTTCAGATGATTTTACACGGTCCTTAAGCTTAATTTATAACCGCCGTAACGTAACTTAACGTAAGAAGTTGAAATATTGAATTTACGTATACTTATACACATCGGACACATCTACTACCTACATCTACATCTGCGTTTGTTTATCCCAGATGTACCTGTTCAGATTACATTTTTTACATCTCGATTTCAAATGAGATGTTCGTTCCATGCCAAAAAGTAACATCCGTATGCATAGTCGATCGCCAGCGACTCGCCAGAGATTCATTTCGACGCATCGCCAGCGATCCGCCGGCGAAAGCCCGAAAAGGTGGCGACTCGCTGGAAATTGTCACCGGCATGTCATTTCACGCAAGTTTTCATGTTCATTTATAGGGAAAAATTTGATATTCGATACGCCGGAATGAATCTCTGGCGAATCGCTGGCGATCGACTATGCATACGGGTGTTAGTGTTCAGTGAAGCCAAGTTTGTCAATTTATCCTTTGTTTGTGATAGCATGAACATAAAAGTGATTAGTTTGTTTCATTTTTGTTTAGATTTCAAATTTAGGTTGATTTGTAGTCTCAAAAGTCAAATTTAAAAACTATGTATAAACTTCTAACTTATCATTGACATTTTATCACGTGACCAATAAAGTCTAGAGCGTTTGTTTATTAATCTACATTTAGATCTAATTCTCTATCACGTGATAAAAAATTCACAACATCTCAGATGCATCCGATGTGGATTCTCAAACGCGGCAAATGTATGTCCATAAAAAATGTGAATTATAGTTTACAAATGGTATTCGTCCATTCATTTATTTAAAAAATAAAAATAGACAGTTATCACATGCTGAACTCAGAATTGAAGACACAAGTGGATGAAGAGCCTATGTAACATTTTTTTAAATGGTGTTTCTCTGTGAATGCCCCTTCATTACCTAAAATTCGTTTAAAATGTCTTCCGTGATACTATCATCAAATATAGAAGTTGTCAGTGGATAAAGGACATGTGTACAACTGCAAAACAATAAACTTTAACACGATATATATCGTAAATAATATTTTGCTACATAGGCTCTTCATCCACTTGTGTCTTCAATTATCTCATTGCCTGACCGTAAGATCTTAAGTTGTTAAGTTAAAACTTGGCGAACTTTCTACGGTACGTTAAGTTCTTGAGGCCCAATTCCACCGTTGTGTTAAACATGTGTTAAACGAAGTTTAAAATGACATTTTTACATTAACAATGTCATTTTAATCTTCGTTTAATACAACGGTGGATTCGGCCCTTAGTATACGTAAATTCAATATTTCAACTTCTTACGTTAAGTAAGTTCATAAGTTACGTTACGGCGGTTATAAATTTAGCTTAATTATCGATCCCTGTCAAATCCACTAGGCCCACAGGTTTGCCATATCAGTGCCTACGGGCAACTATTTTGGTTGGAAATACGCCAATTGTCAAATAATTTATTGGCTTTTGGATTGGCTCTTTTGTTGGGTGACGCGCTGACGCCATCATTTTTTGTGTCGTTTTGCCGTGTGATAACATTATTCTGAAATTTAATTAAATAGGGTACCAAAACAGTGATAAACGAATTGTTTTTTTGTAGCGTTTCAATGGGTGCTCCGGTCCAAAGCAAGGGAAATAAGAGAGGAGGCGGTAATCAAAGAGGCAGAGGAGGAAAATCTCGTGGCCAAGGGCGTCCATTCAATGGTCACCCAGCGCCATTTGGAAATCAAGGTATGATGCGACAAAGAGGCGGTTTTAGAGGTATGCGTCCTCCAGGTCCTCCAATGCGAGGTGGACATCCTCATATGAGAGGACGAGGACTTCCTCCACCTCCACCTCGTATGATGGGTCCTAGAGGACCCATGATGCCTCCTATGAGACCTCCACCTCACGGCATGCGACCACCTCCGGGTATGAGACCGCCGCCACCGATGATGATGATGGGTCCTATGCCACCACCAATGAGGGGTATGTTTAGAGGAGGAATGAGAGGCAAAGGAAGATTTCCCACTGGACCAAACTTCCGAGGTATCAACAAGAAGAGCAAAATAATAAAAAAAGGCCCCAATCGACCATCATTGAAAAACGTAGATCTAACCAAATCTTTTGTGACTGAGGCTATAAAAGCTGAATTTGCGAAAAAAGATGAACTTCTGGCTGCTGCAAAATCCACACAGATAAAGGAAGACTGGTCAAAATACAGAGAGCAGAGAGAGAAGTGTAACAAAGTATACCAAGATGCTGAAACAGCAGCAGGTGGGCAGCAGGAGGTGCGTATCCCTCAGCTATTGCCAGAATCTAATTTCACGCGAGTAACGGCACCTATTGATTATACAGCAGACGTCCACTTATAGGTACTTTACATTCAATCATTATATTGTCTCCCAGCACTCCACTATGTGGGTAAAGTGTCCAACACAACCTTTACCTTGCAATTATCCAAAGTACCACTAGTGGAGGCATATTTTTACATACTTGACAGTCTTCTATCTTTATCTTTACAAAATACAATTTGGTGACTTATTTATACTCATTTTATTAATGTTAATTTTATTTAGTTATGAAATAATCCATTTGAAATCAGAGACAGGGTTCCCAGTTACTAATTCATAAAAATAAATTGATGACTTAGGTACAGACCTAGAAAAAAATCTTATGAATAAACAAATATAGGTTTTTTTAAGGATTTTAGTTCATTAGTGTTAAAAATTATTATCAATAATCTAGTTAAACAAAATAAGTTCATCGGTGTCTGCTGTAGTCTGTTAACATTAAATTTTAATTTAAAGAATTTCCAGAAAAGCCAGAAGAATTAGTAAAAAAACTTAATAATAGGTGATATTACATTTCAGCTTTACTAGTGTGAAGATATTAATGTTGATTATGCGATTTTATAGAAATTTGAGCTTATATTTATGGTATATTTTGCTTCTGTTCTGTCAAATCATAGGTTAATTTTGATTTGAAGGTTAAAAATTAAAATAAATCATTTGATTCTGATATTATTTTTATATACATTATTTGCGTTCTACAATTGAATTGAGAAATATTTGCTATACCAAACTTAACTATTATAAGGAGTCTTCATCAATAACTGTATCCCACAAAATTGTTTTTCTTAGGTTTGTTTGCACTGCGGCTGCAAATGTAGCTGTGAACCCTATTACAGTTGTCATTTTTTTGTATAAAATAGGGTGGAATACTGTCATTTTGTATTATTCATGGGCATCACAAATTGGGAGAAAACTTTCTTAGATTTTTTGTCCATGAAAGATTTTTGAATAAAATATATTGGGAAAATTGAAGGTGCATAAAAAAATGTATTTTTGGTAATTGCACATCCAAAGAAAAGCATGAATGAAATTTTATTTTCAATAATTAAAATGGTGATATTGTTTTTCTTTGGTATATCCTCTTGTATGTTCAAGATTTGAATTTGTTTAGGCATTTTTAAAGATTTAATATTCAAATCTTGAATGTCTCACCTCTTAGTCTTAGAGATTTTAATATTTGAACAAATTAAAAAGTCAATCAACTCTTATTCAAAAGAATAGAAATGGATTTCGCTGGTTTTAAAATTTTATGGTATTAATATAAAAGTAAAGTGTAAAAAGGACTGAACATTGATATCGATATTCTTTTTTTTTTAGCTAATAGAGTAAAATGTATTTAAACAGTTTTAAGTCTTTTTACTTAACTGTTATATTTGTACCTAGGGATAATTTACTGGAAGAATAAAAATATTTTTTTGAAGATCTATTCAGTTTTAAACAGATTTTTTTGTGATATTTGTAATTTGAGAACCATTTTTGGAATTAATTATGGTATTTTTATCCACCACAATATCATTATTTTTTGAAAAATTAAATTATCCTTTTTTTGGGACAATGGTAGGAAAACTGGTTTTCAGAAATAGAATTTTACTCATATTTTTGGACTAAATCAGCTTAACAATTCAGCACTATCAAAATGTTTTAGAAAACCTGTCAACTTATCATGAGGAGTATGATTAAATTTGACACAACTTAGATTTATAAAATCCTTCAATAATTAAAATTTTTCTTAAAATTGAAATTAAAAAATCAGAGCTGTGTCAAAATTGGTCATTTTTGGTTGATTTCCAAACTTAAAATTGTTCAATCACTTTGTTTGTAAAAAAATAATAATTTTTGTTTGAAAAATAAGTCAGAATTTGGATCAATTTTAAGTTGTATTTGAAACTGATTAAATAAAAACAGTGACATACATTTAGAATTTGAATAAGTGAAAAAAACTGCTTTGAAGTATTTAGAAATAAAAAATGTTTTTATGGAACTTCAGCAGTTGCTGAAATTTCTAAAATTGATTGGATATCTTTACAGGACGGTAGCAAAAATGAGACAGCAGAAACAGAGAAAAATTCAGAAAGTCAGCCCCATGGGCAACATTTAGTCGAGTCTCAGCCTGTCACTGAGACTCCAGTATCAGAACCTACAAATACTGAAGTCACTCCAGCTTAAGTGGGCCCCCACATTGCTTTTCATAATTCACTGTTTGGCCACAATTTTTTAAACAAATTAAATTAATTAATCTTAATATTTCAATTATAGTGTTTTTTGGTGTAATTATAATTTGTTATAAAAATCTTTTTGTTCTCTGTAATGTCTGTGGATCCATTCATGATTGTATAATAGTGCTAGAGACATTTATTTACTTTTTTAAAAAGTGTTTTCGCTTGAAGAAGCAAGTTTAAGTTTTCCATAGTATTTTTTTGCTATTGCAAGGATTGCAATATTAATTTATGTTTAAAGTAACTCAGTACCTTCAATATTAATATACTTGGAGTACCATTATGTGTATTAATTAATGTTTAATAAAAAAAATTCTTAAATTACATCAATGACATTTTGATTTTATTCTCTCTTAGATTACTTTAAGAGTAGTATTTTTCTTTTTCTATTTTTTATTTTTTCCTGGGCTAGTTATAGATCAACCCTTTGCATATTTGAGTTAAATAAGACATTGTGTTTTAAAAAATATTCAGCTGAATTTTGTCTTATAAATAAGCAGGTAAAAAAAATGTTGCTTGTTAAATTGGACACACCATATTTCTTATTTATTTTTTTCATCGAAATATCAAAATTTCAGAGCTAAAACTGTGCATTTGTTTCTCAATTATAAGGCAATAAAATACTCAGTACTTCAGTGTATAAAATGAATTTAAAAAAATTCGAATGAGCACGTTTCATTAATAATATTACAATCGGATATAGAAATTAAATTATTAACAAATATGTGTTCAACTTACGTCATATACGAGAGTTAGTAAAATATAAATTGGATTTTTTTTAGTTTATTAATACATCTTAATTTTTTTCTTATAAAACCCAGTTGTGGACAAATCGCCCTACATGCTGTCCATTCATTGCTTCTTTCAGGGACCTAGACAAATGATAGTCGCATGGTGACAAATCTGGGCTATAGGGTGGAATTTAGCCAATTTTTGTGTAGTTAAAAAGGCTACGTGAGGATAAGCATTGTCATGAATCAAAATCACTGTATTTTGTACTCATATGCAGCTTTCATGGCGTCCAAAACCTGACTAGTATACATTATGAAGTCCATGAAGAAAATCAATGAGCAATATATCTCTTAAAACATTCTTATAAAGATTTTTCCAGTCGACAGATTCGTTTTGGCTTTCAAGGGGTCATATTTCCCACTTTCGCCACTCCATACTCTTTTGGATTCGGGAGTATAATTATGTAAAAATTCATTTTCCTCTCAAATGGATCATTCCAAAAGCCTTTGACATATTTCCATTCGACGCTGCTTCTGATTCTCTGTCAAAAATTGTGGAACTCATCTTGCACATATTTTTATATTCACTCACATGACCTATGTTTGTTACAGCAGCGATTTCGTCAGTTACGCTTGAACGTGGATAAAAAATAATGATTTATAAATACTAAATCATCTCTCAATATCTGAGATTTTGAACAAAAATAAGTCAGACGATAAGCGATGAGTGAAATATATTAGTTTTGGCTTTGATACCAACAACCTTCAATAATTTAAATTCTACCTCTAATTGTAATATTTTACACACCATTCCATTAATCTAGTGTTTTTATTAATAGTCGAAGCTTCAGTTGAATAAATGCACATATCTAAAACATTTTTTTTACGCGATTCATAAAAATCTTCCATTAACATTAAATAAATAGTTTTTGAAAGCTTTAACATAGATTCAAATTATTTTTAACATCAATTCAGTTGAATACTTTTTTAGATTTTGATTTAGTATTAAAATGTACAATTAAATAAATATTAATCCAATTGATATCAAAACCATAAATAATAACATTAAGATAAATCAACTTGACACATTTTTTTTTTTTTTTCATTTTTTATAATTTGGTGCATTTAAATATTAATTATGTATGGTTATTTTTAAAATTGTGCTATAGATATGAATCATATCTTTTAATTAGTTATTAAGTTACATTGAAAGTGTCAGTGGACCAAAAAATAATAGTACATGGGGGTGCACATTTTTGGTGTGAATGTTTACCAATCACCCTGTAAAATGCTATAGGTACATTATAGAAAACTGCTCAGGAAAAATTGCTTAAACGTAAGTAACCCTATTTATTTCTCAATTTTACAAAGCTACATCCATATTAACAATTAAAAAATATACATATTTTACGTTAAAGTAAAAATATTTTTCTTGGATGTGGCTTTATTGTGTAAAGTGTTTTAACCCTTAAGTGAAACAAAATTGAAATTTTTTATAAAAAAAAAACAGACTTAATGTAAAAATAGTGCAGTTCTTATTGAACTAAAATGTATACAATCATTGGACTTTTCCACATCAGACCCAACATAGAGAGAGAAACTAATGTTTCTGAGGAGTTTCCCAGTAAGTTAAAAATTTTTTCATGTGAATCTTCAGTTACACAAATACTCAAAGGACATTTTTCAAAGTAGTTTACACCTCGAATTCATAAAATGTGTCTGCTTTTGTTTTTTTTTTTTTTTCAGTTTGTTTTGTTTTCAGGTTTGTGAATGTTTTTATGGTGATAGTAGAATATTCTTTTCGAAAAATTTGGTTGATATTACAAAAAAAATCGCAGTACTTTATAAAAATTATTATCACTATAGTAAAATTTATTAATAGATTAACATTATTTTGTACCATTTACTTATAAATATTTATTCATTTATTTGTTTATCTGAATGATAAATATTAAATGAAATAAAGTGATATCCATAGTTTGTGGTACATGAAATGAATCCATATTACAGGTTGCTTTCGATAGGACTCTGTACAAATCACAAGTAAATGAAAAGTGGAAAAATCAATTAAAAAATAATTTCTTTATATAAATTAGCATCTATTATTGAAATTCCAGCTGTATATTTAGTAATAAACTTTACAGTAATATATAAATGTTTTATGAACCTATACAATTGTTTATTTTAAAAATTTGGTCATACAACAAAAAGTTTAAAAATTATTGCTTGATTAATAATTCTTTAATACATACAGACAATAAACCTATAAAATTGACAAAATCTATAGTATTACTATTACAAAATCCCTCAAGTAAACAAGAAAGTATTTTAATTAACACAAAGAATATTTTTTGATACATTTATTTAAGTATAATCATCATAAAAAACATTTACAACCAACAACGATGTTACAATTTTAATAATATTTTCTGCTAGGTAAGTAATGAAGAATATGTTCATCCAGAAGATGACGAATTATATTTTGAGAATTCAGATTACCAAGATGAAGATAATGACAATAATGGTTTTCATTATTATGAAGAAAATTTTGAATACTATGAAGGAAATGAAGAAAATTCTGAATACAATGAGGGTACTGAAGAAAATTCCGAGTACTATGATGGAGATGAAGAAAATACTGAATACCATGAGGGGAATGATACACATTCACAAGAAATCAGTTTCTCCTGCGAATCCTGTGATAAAGATTTTTATTCTAAAGTTCAGTACGACAATCACATGTCGGAGCACAGAACGTGTAACCTAGACGGATGTACATTCACGGCGCATTTTAAAGTCATTGAAAAACACGTATTGATGCAACACGCTACTGGATTATATGACAAAATTAGAAATTTAAATACGCCTGAAGATATTGCAAAGTGGGTTGAGGAGAGAAAAAGAAGGTATCCTAACAGAGAGAACATCTTGAAAAGGCAGGAACAACAGGAGGAAAAGTTAAAATGCGGGATGAGGATCAAGAAAAATGAAAATCGTTTTGGAAAGGATAAGTTTAGATGTAAGTAGTAACTTCAATTATTATATTGTACTTCTTTACAAAGTAGTGTTTGTGAAAAACTTGCTTTGGTATTATTTTGGTTAAAAATAGGAATATTTGCATCAGGATTTATGGCAACACCATTTGTAGAACATTCTGGTTAATGTTAATTTGCATTTACAGATGAGTTAAGATTAAAAACCTGGTGGTGAACTGGTTTATTGATATCCATTTTTCTTTACTATTAGCACTGCAGAATTTTTGTTTGAAATATATCTTCTTTTTTGTGTGAATTGCTTGGGCAATATAATTTCTTATGAGTTTTTAATACTCTCAATAAGCTTTTATATCTTTACTAAACTATATTCTTTTCAGTAAAAAGAGCTGAGACCAAAAAGCTGCCATATAAAAAGAAATCCAAACGTCCATTCATCAAGGAAAAGAAACCAGTCTCTTTAATAAATGAAAAACTTGACTGGAATGGTGCTGTATATCCATTTAAAGGAACATCAACACTGGAAAGCGACTCTGAAAAGGAAAAAAGCGATTTTGAAGATGAAGAATGGTCCAATGCTTCCATTCAACCTGCAGCGATCAAATTAAATAACTCATTGGGTGCTCTAATGGGGGCCTATATGAGTGGAGGAGATACAGACGAGGAAGTTGTTGAAATTAAACAAGAAACTAAAGTGGAAGTTGTTATTAAAGAAACTTGTAATATTGATAATCGAATTGAGATGGATAAAAATGAAGATAGTGATGGGGAACCCCCTACAGAAGTGAAGATGCAAAAAGTAAAGTTACCAGAGCCTGTGATAGAAAATAAAGAAATACAAGTTCCAGATAAAAGTGGTAATACAAACCGAATTAGAAAAAGAAAACGACCTCAAAACAGAACAAATAAATCTGTCCCATTTAAAAATAGGAATAAGAAACATTTTCAGGGACATTCAAAAAGTAGGAATCAAAGTAGTATCAAAAAGAACGATTTTCCCTATGCTTTTAGGAGGAGGAGAGTTACCTTGTTAGAAAAACTGTTAGAAAGCGAAATAAGGCATGAAAGAAATGTTTTACTGCAGTGCGTCAGATACACTGTACAAAATAATTTTTTTCAAGGTAAATCTAATTGTGAGAGTACATCCGAATGTTAAAATTGTTTTTGTTTTTACATTTTTTATTAAAAGTACAAAGATTTGTTTGTTTAATTTTATTTACAAAAATTTCTCTTATATTATGGTATATTTAGCAGCTAAATTATTAAGTCGTAAAAGCATCAATTTCTAAATTAGTTCAAATGAACCATCTGTAAATTCATCCAAATAGTCCTATTCATAAGATTAGTTGAAGTGTAATAGGACAATTATAACTGATAAGAAGTATTTTTGAGGATAATCTTTAACAATTTTTTAGTTCTAATGTACTATTTAATGTTATCTTAATTATTTTGTGATTATTACATAAGAGGCTGAAAATAATTTATAAAATGCAAAATTATTGAAAAATAAAAGCTCTAGAGTAAGATTTTTTTTATTCCTCGGAATATTGACAAAAAAAACTGGTATAGCAAGGCCAGAAGTTGCAAAGGCTTTGAGAATTTCGTGGCAATATTACAGAATCTGGCTACAAATAATTTAAATAAGTAATAATTCTACAAATTAGTATATAAAATAATTTTCTAGGCAAATGTTTCACTTCAGCTCTGTAGCAAAACTGTTAAAATCCTCTGAATGAAGTGTGAGAACTGGCAAAAGCCTTTCAAACTTTCGTCCCTGCTATATTTAATTATTTCTGGTGAGGTTTATTTTTTGACGTTTCATACAAAACGATATGCAGTGAACATTTTTTATTACAGATTCAAAATCTTAGGAGAAAACTAAATAAATCAAAGATGTACCTTTACTGTTGGATGACAAATTAGTTAAAAATAAGGAATTGCTTAAATAAAGCCTCCTATTCTAGTGGTAAGTTTTTAATTTCTATTTTATATGGACTTAGATTATCCCAATAACATGGTTAGGATTTATAGATTATACAAAGTACTTAAGGAGATTCAGTGTTAAAACAGTGAAGAGAGGGAAAATTAATGCATTTTTTGTTTAATTCACTTTTTTAATAGTTTTTATACTGCTTCAATGTGATCTGAATTTCGTTTTAATTATTCTTGTATTGTAATTGGTTTACATAGATTTCTGATACATGCTTAAAATGGAAATTTTGATTCTTCGGGTAGGTTCTATATATGCAATTATTAAGAGAACTATCTAAATCGAATGGAAATTGATTATTTTAATAAATTTTAGGAAATTTAAAATGTTAGGTTATTTTCCTTCTTCTATACTTCGGAATTTTTGTGGCCTCTTACTTTAAGAAAATTAGTATTTCTTCTGTTTTAATTAGAATTTTCATTGCCTTTTATCTAGTGAAATAACTAGTCAAAAAAAAATTTTGGCCAAAGTATGAATTAATCCAGGCCAATGGTTGACTGGCCAAATTTCTTTAAAAAAGAAGCCAATAATTTCATGATTGTATAGAAGAAGATTGACATTTGACAGCCTTTTATGTCATTTTGAATTTAAAATTTTACAATTTTCGTTTGTAAATATATTTCTTGCAATAAATATAGTATTAGTTTGTGTAAATTCATATATCTTATCATTACTTTTAGATGCCTATTTTGGGATTTGATATTGGCCTATTGTCATCTAATCTAACTTGATCAAGCGAAAAATTAAATGATTAAGATGACCCCTTATGAGAACGAAGTCACAAATTCTACAAAATCGCCCATTGATTCTTGAAAAATAACAGTACACAAACAAAAAAGTAAGTACTAAGTATAAGAGCTTTGTTCTAGCAGTTTCATAGATTTGTAGTCATATTTTGGTGATATACTTAATCATGCTGACAGATTTTTAATATTTTAGTTTCATCATGAAAGTTTTATATTAAAAGCATATTTGTTTGCCATTTTTGGGCTGGCGCGAGATGCAGTTCAGTGAGGTGAGGAGACTCACCTTGAGTGTCTGTGGAACACAGAAATGAATACAAACTGAGTCACTTTCATAAAAACTCCCAATGAGTCCTCCCCTCCTGAATGCGTTTCAACCTGTGTCTGGCCTCAAAGTGATGTTTGGTGATTATTTTAGCGTAGTTTTAGTCGTTTTTGTAAGCACAAAAAGAAATTGTATTGCATGTATATAAAACCATATATAAATATGTAAAAGATCCTATCAGAATAGTATATTTCTGTTTTAGTGGCACTAAGACCAGGTAGCTGCTAAAACCACCATCATAAATCGAAGGAAAGCCCACTGATTTGTTGGAAGGATGTATAAGCAGTTTAGACAAATAAATGTTAAGGAAAGAAGGATAGTTTTCAAATCTTAATTATTTCAGACAAGGTATGCATTTAAAAGTTTTTGAATAGCTATATGTTGACTTCTATTTTTTTATATACAATTCAACTTGTATTTTATAAAATCTAGTTAGAAAATGGAATTGCTTACAATACAACTTTCTGCAATTTTTTAAAATCAAACTACAATACCATGAAAATAGACAATGAGAAAAGTTGTGGACTAAATTGACGTATTGGAATTAATTTTTGTGTGAATATAATAAGTAAAATCCAAAAAACCTTACAGAGCTTAATTAAATTATACATAAAGAATGTTTTGCATTTAAAAATATGTAAATTCATAAACAGTATAATTTACATATTTTTACTTGCCTTTATTTTATATAAGATATCATTCTAAATTATACATTGTTTGGAGGGTCCCCTTTATATACCTATTCAAATTATTTAAACCATTTTAGAAGGGGCTTGTTTCCTTTTTGATATATGAAACTTATATTGTTTGTTCTATGTATATCTATTAAAGCTAATAAGCATATTTTTATGTTTTTAGAAGTAGAAGTTCCATGGACCAGCAATAAAATTCTTGTGTCAGTACCTATGCAAGAATGATTTATTCAGTTTTAAGAAAAAACATCACTGATCCCAATTTTGCTAATTTGTTTTGCTTTTGTACCATAATTTGGTTTTAGTTGAAAATCAGGCAACAAGGTTGTAGTGTTAGAAACCAAACACTGCAACTTTTATTTGTGAACTTGTTAAGCCTTTAAATGAAATGAGAGCCTTTACAGAGAATCTTGAATGTTGACGAGATCTTCTAATAATTTATATGATCATTTTTGTTTCATTTTGTGATATCTAAATACTTTGATAATACATGAATTATAAAAATGTTTCATATTAAAGGCTTTGTTGCCAGTCTAAATTGAAATATTGTTTTTGTTAAATATTTATTGAGTTTTGTGTGATGTTTAATGACATTTATGTACTGTAAAATCCAGTTGTAACATAATGTTAATTATCAATTTCTTTCCTATTCTATAACTGAAAATGTCCAGCACTAATTATAACATACTACATTTGCTAAAAAATAATTTCAATCCACAAGTATGTTTTTTTTTTAATTACCTAAAATTGTTGTTTGCTGTAGCTCCTTTTAATGAAATGAGTTTTCTGCTTTATTTAAAAAATGCTTTTACGCTTATGCAGTGCTGAAAAGGTTAAACTTTCGGTTCCATTTTGTTTATGTTGACGTTCACATGAGCAGGAGAGGAAAGACTGCGTCGTATCAAAGTTGTCAGTGACCGGATAGTAGCTCACTATCGACTGATGACTCTACTTATGATTGACAACATTGATACTGTGTTGTTTTTTTCCTCGCCATGTCTGAACGTCATTATTTACTATATACACCAGCAAAGAAGGGTGTGTTTATGATATATGTTTAAATGTACAATTTCTGTGTTATTATTTATACTTTTATTATGTATTTTTTACAAATAAACATCGTTAATCGAATTCTTTGTTTTTATTTCTTGAATAAATCGATTTCAAAGCACAAAAAGTATCAGAAAACGCAAGAAAGTGGATAATAAATGGTAAGTAAAATATACACCCGCCATCTATTAGCTAATAGATAAAGCATATTTCACATATTCACTATTCGGCAACCATAATTACAATCTCGTATATTCTGTGTTGCCTGTCAACTAATAATCATATAAATAGAAGAAAAGATCTAGGCATTTTTAAAATAAATAAAATTTTTGTATCAGCATAATAGAAAAGCGAGGATATATCCAAAATTTTTATTTTTGCTCAGATCTTTATGAAATTCGGCACATCGTTACTGTATTTAATTTGAAATGTCTGGTGGGTGCCTGCTTCTCTCTATCTTTGATACTTTTTGCTAAATGAGCAACAACTTTTTTAATATTGCTGTTACAAAAAAACTGAGTGTATTTCTGAGATCTACATGTGATCCTCTATCCGTATGCAAATTTAAACGGCTTTTTATTTTTTCAAAAAAATCGAAAGGGTATAGCCTTCCAAATTTTTTGACAAAAATTTTTTTTGTCTCCGATCTTAATGAAAATTGGGGTACATATAAAAGAAAGCAAGAGGAATTAAGGGGTGAACTCAGTTGCGCCCTAGCTATAAGGGTTCACTTTTTTTTTCCTTATTCCTCAGTTAATAATGATCGAATTATTCCATAAATTCACATGAAGGTAGAGCCGGACGGATAGTTTAAAATGCCCCCTGCCGCTTGCCTTTATCTAGAGCCGTTTAGTAGTTATTAACATTTAAAAATAAGTCAAATACCTTGTCGCGTTTCTGCTATCCTGGTACGAAAATTTTGTAGGCAAAATTGGATCTTTTCGAATTCGGAACTTTGTATCAGGATAATAGAAACGCGAGGAGATATCGAAAATTTTTATTTTTGCCACAACTTTTTTAATATTGCTGTTGGAAAAAAACTGAGTGTATTTCTGAGATCTACATGTGATCCTCTATCCGTATGCAAATTTAAAAGGCTTTTTATTTTTTCAAAAAAATCGAAAGGGTACAGCCTTCCAAATTTTTTGACAAAAAATTTTTTTGTCTCCGATCTTGATGAAAATTGGGGTACATATGAAAGAAAGCAAGAGAAATTAAGGGGTGAACTCAGTTGCACCCTAGCTATAAGGGTTAACTTTTTTTTTTTAATTCCTCAGTTAATAATAATCGAATTATTCCATAAATTCACATGAAGGTAGAGCCGGACGGATAGTTTAAAATGCCCCCTGCCGCTTGCCTCTATCTAGAGCCGTTTAGTAGTTATTAACATTTAAAAATAAGTCAAATACCTTGTCGCGTTTCTGCTATCCTGGTACGAAAATTTTGTAGACAAAATTGGATCTTTTCGAATTCGGAACTTTGTATCAGGATAATAGAAACGCGAGGAGATATCAAAAATTTTTATTTTTGCCACAACTTTTTTAATATTGCTGTTGGAAAAAAACTGAGTGTATTTCTGAGATCTACATGTGATCCTCTATCCGTATGCAAATTTAAACGGCTTTTTATTTTTTCAAAAAAATCGAAAGGGTATAGCCTTCCAAATTTTTTGACAAAAAATTTTTTTGTCTCCGATCTTAATGAAAATTGGGGTACATATAAAAGAAAGCAAGAGGAATTAAGGGGTGAACTCAGTTGCGCCCTAGCTATAAGGGTTCACTTTTTTTTTCCTTATTCCTCAGTTAATAATGATCGAATTATTCCATAAATTCACATGAAGGTAGAGCCGGACGGATAGTTTAAAATGCCCCTTGCTGCTTGCCTCTATCTTGAGCCGTTTAGTAGTTATTAACATTTAAAAATAAGTCAAATACCTTGTCGCGTTTCTGCTATCCTGGTACGAAAATTTTGAGACAAAATTGGATCTTTTCGAATTTGGAACTTCGTATCAGGATAATAGAAACGCGAGGAGATATCGAAAATTTTTATTTTTGCCACAACTTTTTTAATATTGCTGTTGGAAAAAAACTGAGTGTATTTCTGAGATCTACATGTGATCCTCTATCCGTATGCAAATTTAAAAGGCTTTTTATTTTTTCAAAAAAATCGAAAGGGTATAGCCTTCCAAATTTTTTGACAAAAAATTTTTTTGTCTCCGATCTTGATGAAAATTGGGGTACATATGAAAGAAAGCAAGAGAAATTAAGGGGTGAACTCAGTTGCACCCTAGCTATAAGGGTTAACTTTTTTTTTTTAATTCCTCAGTTAATAATAATCGAATTATTCCATAAATTCACATGAAGGTAGAGCCGGACGGATAGTTTAAAATGCCCCCTGCCGCTTGCCTCTATCTAGAGCCGTTTAGTAGTTATTAACATTTAAAAATAAGTCAAATACCTTGTCGCGTTTCTGCTATCCTGGTACGAAAATTTTGTAGACAAAATTGGATCTTTTCGAATTCGGAACTTTGTATCAGGATAATAGAAACGCGAGGAGATATCAAAAATTTTTATTTTTGCCACAACTTTTTTAATATTGCTGTTGGAAAAAAACTGAGTGTATTTCTGAGATCTACATGTGATCCTCTATCCGTATGCAAATTTAAAAGGCTTTTTATTTTTTCAAAAAAATCGAAAGGGTATAGCCTTCCAAATTTTTTGACAAAAAATTTTTTTGTCTCCGATCTTAATGAAAATTGGGGTACATATAAAAGAAAGCAAGAGGAATTAAGGGGTGAACTCAGTTGCGCCCTAGCTATAAGGGTTCACTTTTTTTTTCCTTATTCCTCAGTTAATAATGATCGAATTATTCCATAAATTCACATGAAGGTAGAGCCGGACGGATAGTTTAAAATGCCCCCTGCCGCTTGCCTCTATCTAGAGCCGTTTAGTAGTTATTAACATTTAAAAATAAGTCAAATACCTTGTCGCGTTTCTGCTATCCTGGTACGAAAATTTTGTAGACAAAATTGGATCTTTTCGAATTCGGAACTTTGTATCAGGATAATAGAAACGCGAGGAGATATCGAAAATTTTTATTTTTGCCACAACTTTTTTAATATTGCTGTTACAAAAAAACTGAGTGTATTTCTGAGATCTACATGTGATCCTCTATTCATATGCAAATTTAAACAGCTTTTTTTAAATCAGGATAATAGAAAAATGAGGAGGAGGTGGTGGTTCTGGTACTATTGTAAATGAGCGCTTACAACACTCTAGGTACTATATATTATGTAAAAAAAAACAACAAATTAACAGACGATTTTTATTTATTTACAAGTTTTACTTCTATTAAAAAAATGGCACATTAAAACAGTAAAAAATTCTAATATCACAATAAATTACATTGTTAAAATGTATAATAAATTAAAAAATTAAAATCATTTACAAATCATCGTAAAATTAAATGAAAATATAATACAAATTGAACTTACTGCCTAGCTAGATACCAATTAAAACTTGGCAATTATTTGGTTTTAGTCCTTATATAAATTTAAAGCATTTTTGTTTGTCGTGAGGTATCCTAGTTTTGAATAGAATTGAATCTGCCCTGTATTGAGTGTTCAGTAACGGCGTGTATCCAAATACCTAAAAGTATTAAAAAATTTAAAAAAAAATCACAATAATTGTATTAGAGATCTGTACAATACGACAAGATTGAGATGGCAAGTTAAAATTAGATACGCAATGGCAAATCGGATTGAAATTTCCCTTTAGATATAAGGGCAACATTACACTACATAAGGTGCACCTATTTCAATCACTGCAAGGTACGTCTATTCTTTTCAAGGCTGTTTTCTTTCTATGTTCACATGCCATCTCAAATTTGTTGTACTGTACACAAGTGACGGATCTTGTTTTGTAAAATAGTAAAATACTGAATAATAAACATAATGGTCAGTATTCCCTTGTACTTTATCTCTTTTGCACCACTACAGAGGGCACAAAACAGATGTCTAAGACTAGCACTTGGCTACGATCGCTATGCTAGAATACAAGACATACACGAGACGACAAATATGCCTATCATTAAGGATTTTATCATTCAAATCTCTGAAAACTTCTTCGCGCGATGCCTCCCTGAAGAATTGAGGGAAAGCATCACTTAAATTCACCAGGAAGACGGCGTGCGACGGAAACACGGTTGTATTCATATATAGACGACAATAACAGGACCCATGACAATCCCAACAATACTAAACAATAATTCTAATAATTCTAGTCCGACGGAGGACTGAGTTATAAACTGACCGGCGGTGTCGCGACCGAGAGTGTAAGCCAATTCACTACGACCACTAGTTATTAACTGTGATCGGACAGTTTACCTAGAACTGTTCTAGGCGATAGTTGAGAGAACCCACGCTACTCTGTGTAATTTTTGCGACTGACAGCTGTCAAAACAAACTATTTTTCTTTGGATCGAAGTATTTTTCTACGCCAGTGTAAGTAAATTCCCATAAACCAGGGAAGAGGTCAATGACCGAGCCCAAAGGGGCACTTCAAGCAGCCTTGCACGGCTTTGAGACAACATACTCCAAACGCCTCAAAACTAGGTTTAATACCGAAGCATTAAAGAAAGTTACGACCACCACAACGTTTAAATCACCCAGAACCGGCAAAACCAAGCTAAGGACTCAATTTGAGAATACAACTGTGAGTACAAAACAGCATAATCTAACACAAGCTAATCCTGGGGTCAACTGTGCTGTGCAGGAGGCCCCCCCGGCAAAAATTCTGGAGGTTCGACCTTCAGACGACCGCCAAAGTGTTGGTGAGGCGGCAGAAACGCCGGCTAACAAGTCTGAAGTCGAAACAGCACGTAAGCCATCGGTGGCAGGCTCTGATGAGTCGTTAGAGTACCTAGATAGCCAAGAGGAAAACTCAGAAGAAAGTCACGTGAAAAAATACGATGACACGGTCCAGAAATTGATTGATGAACTGGAAAAATCAGACGATTCCATTCAATCAACAAATACAATAGACAGCCAAGAAAGCATGGACGTTACGATGGTTGAAACAGAAAAAAAAGAACCAGGCGAAAAGTCCCCAGATAAGTTTGTGTCATCATACGTTACCGATGCCACGGGTATTCAATACAAAACCCTAAGTCTACCCCCGAACGTAATGACTAACCTCCTGGATTTCAACACAAATAACTATAGTGGACACACTAACACAAGCTCCCTCTCTCAAACTGGAGGTGAGGAAAATGCCCAAGGCGGAGGTGAATTGAGTAGCTTCCAATTTGGGTACAATCCCTCACCCCCAGTTCCCATACTTGGCACTCAAATAGATCTGAGTACAGTAGAGCTCAAAAACACAGGAGCAATAAACAAAAAATACCCTGCAAATGATCCTAGAATCAGAAAAACAGGTATGCCAGGTAGAATTGCTGACAATATACTCGGTTATGAATCCAGCATGACCTCAGAGGACGAAAAGAGATTCCAGGATAATCATGAAAGGCTACCTCATTCCCCGAATAGCCGTTTTGAGAATAGAACGCCAATAGAAAGAGCTAGGTATGAGCAAGAGCTCAGAGATATAGAAGCGGCTAAGAAAGCCAGCATAGATGAACCATTCATCGCTCCAAAGAAATTCTCCTCTAATTTTGAGAAATTAATAAAACAAAAAACAAAACAAACAATTACACCCACTAACAATAAATTCCAGCCGTTAACAGATGAATCTGAAGCAGATACGGACGAGGATGAAATTGACAGAATTGTCAAAAAGAGGAAAAAGGGTGCAAAATATAGACCCCTAGACATGGAGAACCTAAACACAAACTCCAACAATAACAATACACAGAACAACGCAACAGCACAGGTACTACCGAATAAAAATGCAAATGCAAATATCAAAAAAAACACAGGTAACATACAAGGTAAACCAACAAAAAAAACGATGCCCCCCATTGTCATTGATGGCAAGACGAAAAATCAATCGTCCCTTATCCACGACCTCAAACTACAAGTTAAAGGTGATTTCAGTGTAAAGCACACAAATGCCACTACGATTATCTTCGTTGATGATAAGGAAGATCACAGCAGAGTGTTAAACAACATAAAGAGTGATAAAATCCCATACCACACGTACACCGCCAACGAAGATAAATCGCACGCATTTGTATTGCGCGGGCTAGCAGATGGCACAAAGATTGAGCAAATTGAAATCGAACTCGAAGAAGAACATGAAATCAAAGCACGTTCGATATACCAGATGAAAACCAAGGACAGGCCCCTATTTCTGGTAGTGACCGATCCCGCGATAACCCTAGACTATCTCAACAAGAATGTACGAAGGGTTCTGTACACAAGGGTTACGTGGGAACTGCGCAAGTCAATGAAGGCAATTATTCAATGTCACAACTGCCAGCAATGGGGGCACGCCACTTCCAATTGCGGCAGACCGTCCAAGTGTGTGAAATGTGCGGGTGATCACCACACCCGAACCTGTGCTAAAACTCGAGATACGCCAGCAATTTGCGTAAACTGTGGGGGTGATCACCCGGCAAATTATTCGAAATGCGAGGCCTACCTGACAAAACTCGAAAGACTCGAAGAGAGAAAGCCAAAACCCAGGCAGAAATATGTCCCCGCCCCCAAACCGGCCATTAACCAATGGGAGGCCAGGAAACAGACTAGAGACCAAAATAACGATTTCCCGGCCCTGCCCACAATGAAATCAGAAGCAAACCAAGCAAAGAAGACGAATGCTGAAAGACCAAGGCAAACCACCCCTAATCCTAACATGGATGATTTTTCGGCACTAAACCACGAATTTCAAACGTTAAACAGGTTAGTCAATATTGGTGAGCTTACAAGGGCGATCAGAGCACTAAACGCCAAACTTATAAATTGTACATCGGGTCAACAAATCATTGAGACATATAACGCGTTTATGAGTAACGTAGACAACACATTCAATATTAGGAACTGAATTCAATTCTAGGAACAAACATAAACTTAAAATTTGCTTTTACAATGCAAATGGGATGCGCAACAGAACACCTCTTGTTCGAAATTTCATTCATAAACATAATTTTGACATCGTACTTATTACAGAAACTCATTACAAACAAACAGACAAAATTAAAATACACGGGTACGACATCATCAGACATGACAGACCGGGTCAGTCATGGGGTGGAGTAGCTTTCTGTATTAAATCTGATATTACTTATGAACATTTAATCAACATTAACATTTCGCAAGAACATCTTAGGGTTAAAATCAATAATATTATTTTTGTCGGGGTATACAACCCCCCTAACCATCCTTTTACTAAGCAGGAACTCAATACAGTTATGTCATCAGGGAATAGAGTCCTGTTACTGGGTGATCTTAATTGTAAGCACCCTCATTGGGATTCCAATTGTATTAGACCGAATAAAAATGGTAAAAACTTGGACGAATTCGCCGACGCTAATGACATCATAATACACTACCCAGAAGACCCCACCCACTTCCCTTCCGCTCCTGGACATACCCCCTCCACTATTGATATCGCGGCTGCCAAAAACATACCGAACGTGGAGAATACTAGGACAATTAAAACACTTACCTCTGATCACGATCCTGTGTACTTGGAGATAGGCACAACGCGTATGATACCAAGGACACAGGGTCGTTATTATGACTACAAAACAACGGACTGGACAAAATACAGGAAAATACTAGACGAAAACATCGACATTAACAACGACATTATCGATAGGCATACTCTTGAGGAAGAAGTCACTCATCTGACAGAGGCAATAATTAAAGCCAGAAATAGTTCTACTAAATTAGTCACTCTTCAGCCACAAAAAGATGATCTTCCTCAAGAGATCCTTGACCTCATAACTAACAAAAACTATATACGTAGACGTTGGCAGACGCACCGACAAGCCGCCGACAGGGTCATGTTTCAAGAACTGGGTAAAGCCATCAATAGAGAAATCATAGAATTCAGAAACCTAAAATGGCGCAGGACCCTGGAGGCGATCAATACAAAAGACAATTCAGTGTGGAAAATTGTGAGGCGGTATAAGAAACCGTTCTCGCAGCTTCCCACACTGAAACACAATAACAACTCGTACACGACAGACGGACAAAAAACCACAGCGTTCGGTGAATTTTTCCAAGGTAATTTCATAAATAATCAGATAAATAACACTGAACAAGAAGAGATATCTAGATTAGTAGAAGATATCAGGCATATGCCAACACAACTAGTCCCTCCTACTTCTCTCACAACACCTAGGGAAATCATAGATATTATTAAAAAGTCACCCAGTAAAAGGGCTCCAGGACCTGATGAAATACACAACAAATTATTAAAAAATTTGTCAAAAAAAGCGTGTGTACAAATTCACTATTTAATCAATGCCATTATTAAACTTCAGTGGTATCCGGATGCATTTAAAGTTGCAAATGTAGTCCCGATACATAAGCAGGGTAAGAGCAGATTTGATATAGAGAGTTACCGCCCCATATCTCTCCTAAACGGCTTAGCCAAAATTACAGATCGTGTCCTGCTCACGAGGTTACATACATACGAACAAGACACCACGATAATTCCGGCGGAACAGTACGGTTTCAAAGCTGGCCACAGCACGATTGCACAAATAATAAGAATTGCCCAACATGCAAAAGATGCTTTCAATCGTAATGACCAAACAGTATTAGTCGCAATCGATGCTGCAAAGGCGTTTGACACCGTCTGGACTGACGGTTTAATCCACAAAATGTTTATGAATGATTACCCCGTTTTCATTGTAAAAACAATTCAAACATACCTACAGGACCGTAAATTCTACGTTAAAATCAACAATACGCGTAGTGGACCATACACAGCGCAAGCGGGAGTACCACAAGGTTCGGTACTTGCGCCGCATCTGTATAGCATTATGACTCATGATTTTCCCATGGGACAGAATGGTATACAGACGGCCTTGTACGCCGACGACACTTGTGTTTATAAATCATCACACCTAGCCGAGATTGCCACCAGGAGACTGGACATTCATGTAAATAGAACGTTAGTCCCCTATTTCCAAGCCAACAAAATAAACATTAATGCCAACAAAACTGAAAGTCTGATACTAACGCATCGTATAAGCGACAGAATTATTACTAAACTCAAGGTACAAAATCAACCTATAGATACAAAAAATGAAATGCGTTATTTAGGTTTTATATTGGATAGGAGACTGACGTTCAGAAATCATATAGCCGATAGACTTATTAAATCCACCATTGCTTTCAAATCTTTATACCCGATGTTGCATCGAAGAAGCGGTGTAACTTCGGAAAATAAGCTACTAATATACAAACAGGTACTTCGGCCTATACTTTTATATGGATGTCCAGTTTACTGTTCAATGGCGAACATTCATTTCAAGAGGCTACAAACCTTTCAAAACAAGTGTCTTCGACTGGCCTTGGGATACGGCCGTTATGCGCGAATACACGATATGCATGTGCAAGCATCCCTGGAGACTGTCAAAGACCATGTGATCCGACTTTCAGAGGGATTTTATGATAAATGCCTGCCCCCAGAGCTGAAAAATCACATACAAACAATTCATCAAGGTGATGGCATAGACAGAATTCATGGATGCCTGCATAAGGCACTATCCATTTACAGACGGGATCAAAATTAAAGTCAAAACAAAAGACATACATCCTCCATAGCAGCGCAAACCCCACTGAATACTCAAATTACAACGTCGACTAGTTAGCAACTTTGGTCGGACGGACGACTGCACGGTGACGTCACGGCTCGATGCGAAATTCTCGTGGCTCGCTGCGACTTTCGTGTAGGGCTGTGGTGTTACTGTGTAGTTCAGTAATTTGAATTTTCATGCACATAAACTACACAAGACGCACTTACAAACAAAGACAACCCTGTTTTTTACGATCGGTTTTTCAGGGAAATACAGACAAAATTAAAATCATACAAAAACCCACAACTATCCCATTATCGACCTTGTAAGCTAACCAAAAATTGACTTATAATATTGCTAACAATAAGGAGAAGTCACATAAGTGAAAATAAAAAATGATAAATGTCGTATGCACGACCAAAACATCGGTCGTGGTTTGCCTTTGGTGACCACTAATGAAGAGAACACTTCACGAAGAGCTAATCGAGAAGAAATCCTTCTAATAAAGTATATGACATGTTATTATAAACACTATTTGTACATAAATTTTAATAAAGTGATTTTGAAAAGAAAGAAAAGAACTGTGATCGGACGGAAGACTGCTCGGTGACGTCACGGCCTGCATCGAAATCGAGGCATGCCAAGAACTCGATATAGGAAGTCGACGAAACTGAGTAGACTCGTGAATTGGCTTACAAGAAAGACTATACACACGGAAGACTAACAGTGACACACAAACAATGACAACCCTGTTTTTTCGAAATTAGTTTTTCAGGGAAGACACATACAAATTAAAATCACACAAAACTATAGACTAGACTCCATTATCGTTTTAGCAAGCAAACCAAAACTAGCATAATGTTAATTTTAACAAGGAGGCAATATATTGATATAGAAACCCCTGTATATCAATTTAATAAATTTGCCCAGACTCTTAAAAGGGGTGGTTCGGTTCTAAAAATTTACAAATGGTAAAATATTTGCCAAATTTAATAAATAAAAAAATTAAATTTTAAATTCTTCAGTCTTCTCTTAGCTCCTTGTCTCCACTGTCTATATTGCCTTTACCTGTCCGCTTGTCTATCTACTCGATTCTATCTCTCTGTTGGTCTGTACTTCTGCTAATCTCTACCTGTGTGCGTGTGATCGTGTCTCCCTGTCTCTGCTTCTACCTGTAACTGCTGCTACCAGCCCAGGCTCTGCTACTCTCTGTCTGTCACTGCTTTTACCTGTCTTTGCTTATTTCTAATTAAAATTCCTCTGTACCTTTTTATTTTATTTTCTTTATTTCAACTTCTATTGTAACATCAAGCTTCTATAATAATAATAATTTATCTTTGTATTAATTTTATCTCTGGCGTTTTTCAAATTCCCCACTGACAATCTCCAATTTTTTACTGACAATTCTCTTTTTTTTAAATCAACCAAAAACCCATTTTGATTTTTAACTTTAAATTTTGATTTCAAGACACTTCACCACCCCAGTATTGCTCAATTTAAAATAATAAATTTTATGACGTCAGGAATTTCTATATCAATATACACACACAAAACATTAATACAACAAGCGTAATAGATAGGCTATGACATCGGCCGAGGCTCAACCTGTGGCTCTGTTTGGATTGGAGCTTCCAGGAAGGGATCCTAGAAGCAAATCCAAATAAATATACATTATACTTGTTGTAAATTGACTGTAGATAACCAAGTGTTTTAATAAATGATTTGAAATAAAAAATGAACGGCCCAGTGAATTATCGCACTCTCGGGCGGTTTATAGCCCACCCTCTCAGTGAATTATGACAAAAAACCACAGACTAACACAAGACCACACACCACTAACGACAACCCTGTTTTTTCTAGCTTTTTCAGAGGACAATAACGAAATTAAGACACGACAAACCCACAAATACATACAATTCCCGACTATAATCCTTCCTACTCCCTTAATAATACCCCATGGGTAAGGAGTGAGGGCGGCTATGTTTTAGCAAAATCAGAATATTGGATATATGAATGCATATAACAGGTAGAGAGATCGCCTTAAGCCTTATTGACGTAATTTTAAGGTAACATTCTGTACTGTGTACAGTATGTGACTTTATAACAATCATAAAACGAATCGTAAAGAAGAAACATATCTAGATTATATATAAATTTTTTAAACTAACCTGCGTAAAGAAATTAATGCATTTGTGCCTCTCCTGGAAGTGAGTATCGTCCTCGGAAAGACTCTGCGGACAACCAGGACATCTGAAAGTCCACCTCGAAGTCACTTTCACCGGGGGTTTTCTAGTAACGTGGCTAACCAAAAAATTCATCGCTATATCTTCGCAATTCATATACTCGTCTACTTTGTCTCGAATAGCTTGTGGAAGCCACTTCCAATACAGATGAAGGTAGTGGCGGTGAATAAAAGCAGCCCCCGTAAGTACCATGCTGAGTTCGCAGCTGTAATTGGAATTATATAGCCAGCCGTTTTTGGTATTCAGGTCCCAAGCGTGATACCTAAATTGCCAACAAAATATTCAGATATTCTAGTTTAGTAGAAATGCAAAGAATTTTTTACCTTCCAGGAAAACCGACTATTCTGTCTCTATGTTCTCGCCAAACTCTGAAACCGAACAGAATTTCATCGTGCCTCAAATGCGCATCGTCGTCAACAGACAAAATGGCCTCAGTCTTTAAATTATCTAAAGGTAGGAATCTATTATTTAGCGAATTTCTAGCAGCCTTAACAACGTGGACGGGCGCGCCTATGTCAGGCCATCGCAGTTCCGGGCTCGGAGGTCTAGGGGAATTCCAGACCACAACCTAAACAGAAAATATTAAATCTGTATGGAAAGACTTTTCCGTCGAATTACTTACCACAGAATTTAAATAAGGAAGCCCTCGTAACCGAGCTATGGAATCCAGCAAAACTTGTTCCCTCTCGTAGGTCAGGAGTAGCACAGTAAACTGTTCCCTTGGGAAATTTCCTCCTAAAGATTCTGAAAATTCTTTACCGGAACCCCCTTGACCTTGTCCGATTGGCCTAAAGCCCCTACCGGAACCGATAAATTTGGCATCAGATGAAAGAAACGGGTCCATAGGAAGTGTCGGATAGAGACGGAATGGGTCTCCCCAATCGTTCCAAATTTCCGTACCTTGGACTAAAGCTAGGCTGTAATTTCGACGGAAAGCGGGACTGTCGAACGGCGGTTCTAGTGGGCCTAGGCTCTCTTCTTGCTCCACTTCACTGGCGACCTACATATCAATCAATATAACTAGAGCGTAATTCAATATAAACAATACTTACTGCCACTTGTACTGGCTGAAAGGTTTCATTAAAAACACTCATGGCCATGACAGTTTCTGCAGGAGAGGCTGGTATATTTAACCTGTCCCTCAATACAGCTACTATAGTGTCCAATGTACTCTGTACGGACGCCAGATATTTTTCCCATATAAGCCGACCTTGTCTTCTCAAAGATAAAACATCCTCATCTGGAATGGCTCTCAAAAGGAAATGAAGTTCTGTAATGCGAGGACGAGGCAGAAATATGGCGGCACGTCTCCATTGTATAACCTCGTCATAGGCCAGCTTTATTTGATCTCCACCTAGGATTACTGGGATGCCACCTAATCATGAATAAATAATAATTAAAAACTATAACATTCTTAAAATAACCAAAAAAGCTTGACAGCTGTGTGCACGTAGTTTAGATTCAAAAGAAAATACTTGTATTTCGTGCAAAACTTTTTAATTAATAAATGCAAAGCGCTTTCGGCATTGTGCCATCATCAGTGCTTATCTATAAGAATTGTGGATGTACACTTACAATTTATAAATATGTGTATAACATTCTATTCTGTATCTGGTTACCAATGATTATTTTTTCCCCTGCCTCACATTGGGCTAGTATATTTATTGCTTTTTTTGATTTTGAATAAATATTATTTCTAAAAATGTCATCCTAAACCTCCCAAGCACCCATTGAAAGATAATAACAAACACAATTAATCTAATCACTTTAAGAGTAATCGCACAGCCTGAATAAGTATAAAATAAAAAGTAACATCTTGCCTGATCTTAGAGCTTCATACACTCTGGCCTGTAGGAGAGTGGTTGACATCAAATCGTCTCGACCAGGAGCGAAAATTAATACAAAAGTAGACTCTTTCAAAATCGCCCGTCTGCTGCTGTCCGTACCACAAAGAGCCCAATCTTGGACCAGAGAGTTCAAGTTATTATCACTAGCTGGATTGCATTCAAACTCAAACACGAATTTATCGGAGGTGGTTGTTTTCAAAAGCCCAATGAGATGATCCAAAATAAACCTAATATAAAAGTATTTTTTTTTAACCGTATCAATTTTTCATGCTATTGTATATGTTCGGTACCTGTTAAGTTGCACATTATTATCTTCAGAATCGTCGTTTTTTGGATTCGGTGATGCCACTTTTGGTTTTTTCATTTCTCCCTGAAAAGTCAGTAAATAATGTCTCCTCGCTGGCAACATTGGACTGCACTCTTGCCAGACATCGCCTCCTGGTGGGCCTAACACGGGTGAGATAATCAAATCAAAGCCAGGTCGATAAAGGTCATAAGAAAAAGTTGATTGGACTAATATGGCACGCCCTAAAATAATTCAGATGATTATATTAATGGATCATCATTCAAGCTATTCACTCACCTGTATCAATATCAGAGAACATATCTCCTGAGGCAGATGTGAGATCCCGTCTAGCTAAATTCAATAAAATATGGTTCCTACCATCGCCGCCCCAATAAGGAAGCCTCTTTAAAGCTTCTGAGTCTAAGGCAGGGAGGTTTAGATGATTACCAACATTTTCACTGACATCGTCTGTATCTTTTAAAGCTTCACCAACCAAAACTAGAAATATACAAGCTTGCTTTGGATCATTGGTTAAATGCGGATTGTAGCCTAATGTCTGCTTGAGTGTTGTTTTTAAAAAACCATCTACATCCCAGCCGTCATTCATAACAGGGAACTGATCTGGATCGTAGAGATAGACTGGGAATCCTGATGTAAGTGAACACCTGAAATATTGATTAAACAATAAAACTTTACTGCTGAAATAAATCTCTTTGACAAGACTGTAGTGATGGTAGTTATCTATTCATTTATTTATTTATTTATTCACAGGCCTTGCCCACTTTCAGTACAAAGTTACAAATAAAAACAAAAAAACCTCAAATAGAGTCAATCTAAATATGACATAATGATGATAAACTAATAAACTAACAACAAAAATCATAAATATTTAATTAATTTCTTTATTTAGCTTTGCTAATACAAAAATAGTACAGTTTTTAAAACAATAAGTATAGTTTATACATTATGTATAGTGTCTAAATATGAACAGAAAAAAAAAATAAATTATTAGATCTAACTATAAAAAAATATACATGTAAAATATAAAATTAAATTTATATCTACAATTTAAATCTCTCTATATCTACAATTAAAATCTTTTTTTATTTATTTATACCCTTTGTGTCATCATAATATAGTTCTTAAGTTTACATTTAAAATTATTTAATGAGGTAGCATTTTTAATTTCAACTGGTAATTCATTGTAAGCCTGCAGACCCTTGACAAAGACTGAATTTTGGGCACTCCTACTTATAACATGTCGAATATAAAAATTAGTCCGTTTCTTGTATTATAATTGTGAAATTGAAAATTGTAATCTATTTTTTCAAGTAATTGAATTTTAAAAATAAAAATTAATGTTAGGTAAAGAATGTAATTTTTAACTGACATCCACTCAAGATCCTGTAACATTGTTTTTATATGAGTTCTTTTATCACAAGAAAGTATTATCCTCATTGCCCTGTTTTGAAGTTTCTGCAACCTATTCATTTCATTTTGGTTTAGCAAATATAAAATTGTGGCACAATACGTAAAATGGGGCAGAATTAAACTATTATAAAGAAGCTTTAAAGACCATTGGTTAAGATGTTTTGAGCATCTATATAAATAGCTTATTTTAAATGATATTGTTTTAATAACATAATTAGCATGTTCTTTAAATAGTAACATATAGTCAACTATGACACCAAGATATTTAAATTTTTTAACAACTTCAATATTACTATTTTCTATATTTACTTTTAGGTTACTAATATTATATTCTTGATAGTTTTTGTCATTTCCTATAATCATGAACTTAGTTTTATTGTCATTAATTTTTAAAGAATTAAAACAGCACCATTGAAATATTTCTTTTAGTGTGTTATTTATATTTTCAATTATTTCATGTAAATTGTCTGAAGCAAAATAGATCAAAGTGTCATCTGCAAATAAGATAATGTAACAGTTTCCTGCGACACGTGCGATATCATCAATGTACAAGAGGAACAATAATGGTCCTAACACACTTCCTTGCGGGACACCTTGTTTATTTTGGATTTCATCTGATGTAATGTTGTTAAACTTTAGCTTCTGTTTTCTGCCATCTAAATAATTTATTAAGACTAGGGAACTTAAGTCACAGTAAGTTGTAACACCCTCACAAAATTAGAAAAGCTTGAATTAAAAAATTCTAGACTATCAGCACAAGCATTAGTGCTTCATGAAACTCTAGACATAAATAAATTGAGGCCAGTATTAGTTCTCATGTAGGGGTGATAAAAACTATTTATTGATCTTGTGCTTCTAGTTGGGGCTGCCAACAACATGCTTGAAATCAATGTAGGGCAATCAAACATATAATTAACTAGCGGACCCGACAGACGTTGTCCTGTCTTTACTATGAATATTGATTTCGAATTCATATAATTAACTAAAAAAATATTTCAGAAACAAAGTGTCCATTATTCTAATGCTTTATGATATACAACATTCTTTGTTTTTTTTTTCTGGAAAATAACAAACACAACAAAAAAAAATTAGCGAAATCGGTCCAGCCGTTCACGCGTGATGTCGTGACCAAGGGAAATAGGGATTCATTTTTATATATAGACATTTTCTAATTTTCCGCGCAATTTTCCTAATTTTTTCTTTCATAAGAACCTTCTGACAATAACAAACACAACAAAAAAAGAATTAGCGAAATCAGTCCAGCCGTTCACGCGTGATGCCGTGACCAAGGGAAATAGGGATTAATTTTTATATATATAGAAATTTTCTAATTTTTCGCGAAATTTTCTTAATTTTTTTCTTTCATAAGAACCTTCTCCTGACAATAACAAACACAACAAAAAAAGAATTAGCGAAATCGGTCCAGCCGTTCACGCGTGATGCCGTGACCAAGGGAAATAGGGATTCATTTTTATATATAGAAATTTTCTAATTTTCCGCGCAATTTTCCTAATTTTTTCTTTCATAAGAACCTTCTGACAATAACAAACACAACAAAAAAAGAATTAGCGAAATCAGTCCAGCCGTTCACGCGTGATGCCGTGACCAAGGGAAATAGGGATTAATTTTTATATATATAGATATATGGGAAAAAGAAAAGGGCTGTTTTTAGGGTTTTTCAGGAAATTATTTGAATTTTTCTCGCCGTAAAAACCATCCTTGGACTTCAACGAACATTTTAAAAAAAGAATTGGTAAAATTGGTCCAGGCATTGTTACGGGTGTGAAGTTATCCACATCCACAAATGTACACTGAGAAAAATATAACTCTATCGTAATAGTCATATAACTTGGTTCAAATTACCTGTAGAGGCCTTTCATTTGTAGATTTCAATTGGGGAGGTTTCAATACACAGCAACCATACCCGCAATTAACTTTTGCTTTGTCTCAGGGGGTGCAATTGGGGGTGAAATTTAAAAAAAATCATAGAAGCCACAAATGGTTTTGTACACCTTTCTGCTTGGGATATGTTATGTAGTTTACTCTTTTCTTCGTCCCTAATACCATGCTGGAGTTTGTCGAGCCGTCTGAGGGGGTGCAATTGGGGGTGAAATAAAAAAAATCATAGAAGCCACAAATGGCTTTGTACACCTTTCTGCTTGGGATATGTTATGTAGTTTGCTCTTTTCTTCATCCCTGATAGCATGCTGGAGTTTGTCGAGCCGTCTGAGGGGGTGCAATTGGGAATGAATAAGCCATTTGTGGCTTCAATGATTTTTTTTATTTCACCCTCAATTGCACCCCTTAGACGGCTCGACAAACTCCAGCATGCTATCAGGAATGAAGAAAAGAGTAAACTACATATCATATCCCAAGCAGAAAGGCGTACAAAGCTATTTGTGGCATCTATGATTTTTTTTAAATTTCATCCCCAATTGCACTCCCTCAGACGACTCGACAAACTCCAGCATGGTATCTTAGATGAAGAAAAGAGCAAACTACATAACATATCGCATGCAGAAAGGTGTATAAAGCCATTTGTGGCTTCTATGATTTTTTTATTTCACCCCCAATTGCACCCCTTAGAGAGCTCGACAAACTCCAGCATGCTATCAGGGATGAAGAAAAGAGTAAACTACATAACATATCCCAAGGAGAAAGGTGTACAAAGCTATTTGTGGTTTCTGTGATTTTTTGTTTAATTTCACCCCCAATTGCACCCCCTCAGACGGCTCGACAAACTCCAGCATGGTATTAGGCATAAAGAAAATAGCTATCTTTATAACATATCTCAAGTAAAAAGGTGTACAAAGCCATTTGTGGCTTCTGTGATTTTTTTTAATTTCATCCCCAATTGCACCCCCTCAGACGGCTCGACAAACTCCAGCATGGTATTAGGCATAAAGAAAATAGCTATCTTTATAACATATCTCAAGTAAAAAGGTGTACAAAGCCATTTGTGGCTTCTGTGATTTTTTTTAATTTCATCCCCAATTGCACCCCCTCAGACGGCTCGACAAACTCCAGCATGGTATTAGGCATAAAGAAAATAGCTATCTTTATAACATATCTCAAGTAAAAAGGTGTACAAAGCCATTTGTGGCTTCTGTGATTTTTTTTTAATTTCATCCCCAATTGCACCCCCTCAGACGGCTCGACAAACTCCAGCATGCTATTAGGGATGAAGAAAAGAGCAAACTACATAACATATCCCAAGCAGAAAGGTGTACAAAGCCAGTTGTGGCTTCTATGATTTTTTGTTTAATTTCACCGGCAATTGCACCCCCTCAGACGGCTCGACAAACTCCAGCATGCTATCAGGGATGAAGAAAAGAGCAAACTACATAACATATCCCAAGCAGAAAGGTGTACAAAGCCAGTTGCGGCTTCTATGATTTTTTGTTTAATTTCACCCCCAATTGCACCCCCTCAGACGGCTCGACAAACTCCAGCATGGTATCTGGGAGAAAGAAAAGAGCAAATTACATAACATATCGCAAGCAGAAAGGTGTACAAATCCATTTGTGGCGTCTATGATTTTTTTTTAAACTTCATCCCCAATTGCACCCCCTCAGACGGCTCGACAAACTTCAGCATGGTATCAGGGATGAAGAAAAGAGTAAACTACATAACATATCCCAAGCAGAAAGGTGTACAAAGCCATTTGTGGCTTCTATGATTTTTTTTAAATTTCACCCCCAATTGCACCCCCTGAGACAAAGCAAAAGTTAATTGCGGGTATGGTTGCTGTGTATTGAAACCTCCCCAATTGAAATCTACAAATGAAAAGCCTCTACAGGTAATTTGAACCAAGTTATATGACTATTACGATAGAGTTATATTTTTCTCAGTGTACATTTGTGGATGTGGATAACTTCACACCCGTGAGATTGTTGAGTTATGCGCTTACCAACACATTTTGCGATTCATTTTTATATTATAGATGAGCTTAAAAAATAATTTCAGATTCTCAAAGTTGGTAAGGAGAATGTCTCTTGCAGTGCCACAAAATCATAGGAATAGTCATCTATCCATAGAATATTTTATTTAAATGCTAAGTAGTGAATAAATTTTCTTTGAACCTGTTCTAATTTATGAATGTAACAAGTATACTGGGGGTTCCAGATTGAAGAGCAATATTCTAGCAGAGGCCTAACAAGTACAATAACCTGATAGCATTAATACTTGTAAAGTCTGATGTGTTTCTCTTTATAAACCCAAGCATACCGAATGCTCTGGGTACTATTGTGTCAATGTGATTGACAAATGAGAGCATGGAGTCCATAATAACACCCAGATCTTGAATGTACGCAACTTGGGACACTGATGTATCCATATTATATTGATAATCAATCCTGTTATTCTTCCTAGTAAAGGATATTGAGTGACACTTAGTGATGTTTAGGTGCATAGCATTATTCACACCCAACTCATCAAGCCCAGCCATATCAGATTGAAGTTTGAGACAATCCTCAAGAGATGAAACTGCTAGGTAGCACTTTAGGTCATCAGCAAAGCATAAAAATTTGGCAAACTTGAAACATTCTGAGCTATTATTTATAAATAATAAAGGTCCCAAGTGGGACCCCTGGGGGACTCCAGATAAATTGGGAATTATTCAATTTAACAGTTTGAAATCATTCAGATAAATAACTCATCAGCCATTGCAATAATGTTCCCATGATCCCAGCAGTTTCTGGTTTATTCAACAAAAGTAGAGAGTAAGTACTGTGTTCTTTTAATGACAAAGCATGTTAATTGTACAAAATATACAAAGAGAAAAAATATTCTCAAGTGTTTATGAATGTAAATAAAATAAAATTGATGAAACAAAACAATGTCTAACAAATTTCTTATCTTTTACATATTAAGTACTTACCGGGAATGATCAAAGCAGCTGTACATTCTACACCTTCTAGATACATATTGTGGAATAGCAGGCATCACAGGAGGCAATTTATTAATGGTGAGTATCTTCGGTAATGCCAAATCTGGAGTATTTTGCTGCAGAGCCTCTTGTTGCGCTACTTGTGCTTGCTCTACCGAAATCTTCAACCTATTTAAATTGGTCTGCTGGTGCGTTAATTCCTGCTTCAATTCGTCAATTTCTTTAGCAAAATTTTGTATTTCAGACTTGTATTGTTGACGTTTTTTCTCAATATCCCTTAATTCACTGAGCACAGAGCCCCTTATTCTAAGTAACTCTTCGACGCCTACTCTAAGATCGGATTCTTTAAAATTATATACATCTGGTAGATCTTCGTGAGAATGTGCGTTGTGTTCTATGTAATAGGAATTCCTTTCGACTTTAGATAGATAAAAATGTGTAATTAACGGAGTGAGAATTAAAATTGCTAGGACCATCACAACTATTCGGGAAAGCTTCACATGAACAAGCCAGCTGCAGAAATCTCTGCCCGTTTCCCCATTTAACACAACCATTTTGGGGCTCTTTGGAGCTCCTTAACTATAACCTCAAACAGAACATATTTTCAATTATTACTATGGCTCTTTAATAATTTTTTAAATATAATTAAAGTAGGTGATATGTTGGAATGTCTGCATTTTAATAAAAACTTGTGTTGGTTTTTTATATTTTGATTTGGAATGTCAAATATTTGACAGTTTATGACATGACAGTATTGACATTGACAGTTTGATTTAGAATCAGTGGTATATAGTTATATAGATTTCATATGTAAATCAGACGACGAAAAGCGGGTTTCATTCAGCCAATACATGTAATGTTTATATTTTTTAAGTACCTAGTTCTCCGATCTGTAATACAGGTTAGGCATTTCAAACAAAATTGTTGCCCGTTGGGTTATGATATAGCAACCCTGTCGGCCTGGTGATTTGACAGGGTCAATGCTATACATAGTTATATAGATTGGTCATCCATGTTTATCAAAATAAAAATAGTAAAAATGTTAGTAATTATTTTTTTATTGCATTCAAACGCCGAAAATTAGTTTCAAAACATTATTGCCAAACAGATTCTAATTAATGAGTACATGCGAAGCAATATAGCCGCTTGCCAAAACGACCAGAGTTGAGCAATCTAAATAATAATTATAGCACTGGTCCTGTCAGGCCCACAGGGTTGCCATATCATAACCCACGGGAAGCATTTTGACCTTAGAATATATATAGTCAGGAAGGAGGAATCCTGAACGACCTTGGAATCGCGATGGTATCTAATTTTGACAGTGAACTAGACGAATATGGCGACAAGTGTTTCCGGTCTACCAGTGACGTACTGTCATAAAGGGGCGTAGAAAAGAATAAATTCTCATTTGCATATTATCTAAATTTACCGATTTCTCTCATTTTAACAAATTGCTATTTTCTTGCGAGAAGTTTGCATTTTTTTTATTAACCTTCATTATGTGAATAAATTTTGCTTTAAAATTGCATGTTGGGTGACATAAATATAGGAAAATATTTTTGAGATAATTTATAGATGGATTTCATTTGAAAAATCAAAGCAATAATGTATTTAAAAAAATATTGACTTTTTTACGTCTTTATTATGACAATGTCTTTATTAATCTAAATTTTACAAATTATTAAGGTTTGAAAAATAAATATGTTTTGTAGATATGCGTTAAAAAAAATTAAATATCCTATACTTATATTTAAGTCAAACAACGTTGTGATATTTTTCTTATATGTTTTTGTCGGAGTACATATAAAACTTCCTAATATCGAAGATAATTTCTGATCATTTTATTACATAATATTATTAGTAATATTTTTTGCAGGACAATTTTACATAAGCAGGTAAAACACCTTTCCAAGAAATGCTATAACGTAATAATGATTCTATGAGTGCAAAATAGATTATTTTTAAATGTACATTCAACGCGTTATTTGTATGCTTAGTCCAGTTATGATGAGAGTCAATTTGTACTCTAAGGTATTTGATATCATTTGTTATACTTATATGAAACTATTGAACGTTACCTTTTATTGTTTCTATAGGAAGAGGCCATCTTTTTGTAACTGTATAATGAAACAACAGAAGTTTTATCAAAGGTTTGTACGTTTTTATAATTAAACCATTCGAAAATTTTTATAAGATCTGTTTCTATTTATAATTTTAATCAATTCCAGTTCTCTGTATTTTACAGAATAACTTACAATATTTCCATCTGTATTTAAATGACAAATTATTTAAAATAAAATTAAACAAGATAGGACCTAGGACAGTATCTTGAGGCATGCAATATGCTACTTATTTCCTTACTTGAGATATTATTAATTCTATTTGTGTTCGTTTTTGTAAATAACTAAGTTTTATTCTTGGTTTTGAGGTTCGATCAAAACAATCTGCTTTAAAATGGCGTGAAAACAAAAAATTAAGATATTTTGGCGCACAATTTGTTTGTTGCATGAACTCAAGTCATAACTTTGTTTTTTGAGAATCTTCAGGAAACCTGAAAATTGTCTACCTGGGATTAATTTATATAATTTGTAAATCTAGAATCTTTAAGAAATCTGAAAATTGTTTACTTGTAATCAATTAATAAATTTAAATTGAACAATAATTTATTCATTTTAACAACCACATAAATATCTTAAAATTGCATAAAAGAATTGTTTAAATAAAAGTATGTATACCCTATAAACCATGAGACTACGCCTATGAGCACAGTTGATCGCAGACGCACTTACCATGTTTGTTTACAAATTTAAAACATTAAAAATTTTAAAAATCTTGAATGTGGTTGAAAATTGAGAGAACAAAATACTTGCTTATTACATGTAGATTATGCCTTTCTACTTTTAACTGTTCTGTTGTATCCACAAGACGAACAACTGACCATATTGTCTTGTTTGTATTTTAACGCGGAAAATTTAAAAGTAACAGTAATACTAAATAAATACTAAAACATTAAATACTTTTTAAAAATGTCTACAAAACATACGCTTGAAAAGTTTAAATTGGCATGCTCCTTCCTGACTATATATGTTCTAAGATTTTGACAGGTCGTTGGAATGCCTAATACGAATACAGGGTTGCCAAATCAATAATATATGAAAACGATCATGTCATGCGTGATAGCGTGACAAACCACCTATAGTAAAATATTTACATATTACATAAAACTGTATAATCGTTCTAATTTTTCTTTGTGCCTTTCACGAAATGAATCATGTATTTATTTGATAACTGTATATTTTTAGAAATTAAATATGGAAGGAGAATTAAAGAACAATTTCATTAAGTACCACACAATTTTATTGTAGTTTTAAGTTATTTCACATATTACAACCTAGGTAAATACTAGGTACGTTAATAAAATAAGAAAAATTTTTTCAATTTGATTGATGAACTACATTTTTTTTTTTTTCAAAAAGGGGTCCTTTTTATTCACAACAACATTATACACCACCTGCCGCAAAAAATAAGTTTTTTTATCTTAAAAAATAGTTTTTAAATATGTATTTTTGGTCTTTTACAATTCCTTTAACTATTTTTTAATATTTTACTGACTGAAATGCGAGATAGTGTAAATTAATACATAAACAGGGTTGGTCTATTTTTTTTTTATTTAATAAAAACAACAGCTTGTACTTGCTAGAATACACTATAGGTTTTGAGCATTTTTTTTATATATTATGTTGAGCTCCCTACGTGTATTCATCAGTAGTAAGTTGGAGTTTGCTTTTCTAGATTTAGAAAAATAAAGTTAAAAAAACAGGTGATAGTAGTAATAAACTCTTTAAATACAAATTACAACAAGATTCTTTACAAATATTCGAAAATAGAACTACTTTCTTTAAATTCTACGAATATATAGTGTTCTGAAAATTTGTTCAGAACACTATATACTCCCTTAATATATTACTTTGGCTTGTTAGAGAGATTTCCTACAATGATTTTTCATAAAGAGCAGGAGGTCTTGTTCTATATTTCTTTCCAAATTACCTGAGTAGCAAAATACAAATAAATACAATAAATCAGCAAATAAAATATATAAATATTTGCAGCACAAATACGGTGCTGGTAAATATTTTAGTAAGCAGGTCAAAATTAACAATTGTACTTCTAAAAAAAGTTGTCTATCACAAGACCTGTCAACAAGAGAAGTTCTTACATTATCAACTTTTCATGAAAATCACCTACAATAATTATACAAAATATACAATAACGAAAACAATAAGAATTAGTCAAATTGTAATAAAATATGAAAAAGTCACATAAATATAAACATCTTTTCATTTAGTAATACTGATAGATACGTACATCAACAATTTTATCTAAATAATCATTAGGCTACAAACAGAGAACACCAATAAAGTTCATCATTGTCAACAAAAAAGAATTTCTGCCCTTCGGTTATTATAACCTACAAATTTTTAACAAACAATGCTTTATCTAAAGCAACATAATATTTATATACACAAAAGACGTTTCGATTTCCCTTCACCCTCAGTCGACATTTTCAAACGTTCATTGCATAGAAAAGCGGCTTGGGGTTAGTATGCGGAATGCTTGTGGGTGATGTATTGGTACTGGTGGAATTTTGAACGGAATCTTGGGGTGACACGCTCGCAGCCCCTTCCGGCACTCCTCTCTCAATAAATCTGGCTTTAGTTGGGCTATTAGAAGGGGATTCTTTTGGAGGGAGGTAGTTGTAGTACCCATTGAGGTGGTTGGAATGTTGAAGATTGTTCTCATCCATATACACGTGCTCTGAACCATCCGTTGGATTATAACGCGGCCTTACTGAAGGGAAGCTATGTCGATTTATTTTGTTGACGTATTCTGCCTGTTTGAACGGAGGTCTCAGAGAATCTCTAAATCTTAGTGTAGATGGTACTGAAAATAAATAAAAATTCTGTATAGGTAGTGCAGAATAAATAGAAGCAGTAAAACAGGCTACGTAATACCTCAAAAAAGGTTAAATAAAATAATGATTTTTAATTTTAGTCGTCTTGAATTAATTTTCCGACATGCTTCACACAGCTGGCTCAAATTGTAGGTTTTACTTCTGTTAGAGCATCGTTCCAAACTTTATTAATTTCGGATTGTACTTATGAAGGAGCAGTATCGATGCCCATGTTCGTGCAGAAGTTCGTCTATTAAGTATATATTATTTAGTGGTTTATTTCATACGATGTAAGATTCAACATTTCTATTTTAAAAACGTCTTTGTCAGAACTCATCCTTCTACTTTTTAACCGTTCTTGTAACTTCGACTTAGGCTCGTATTTATAGATCGATCTAAGGTGAGTTGGACTTAGTTGAGCCGTCCTTAACCGAAAATCGAAATTCGGTTATATAGCGGAAATTTAGAGACAGTTATAGTAATAAATACGTAAATGTTCTATGTTAATGTTCTATGCACATACTAAGAACGTTCTATTTACATTCTTTTTGGTATGGCCCTTCTGAATGTTTTTAGAGCTTGTCTAGAATATACTTCAGAACTACCTGGAACTCTACAGAAGTTTTAACTAAGCTGACTTCGACTTACGGGCATTAGCCTGCGAAGAACTGTGGTAGAACGCATTTTATCCATGATGATTAGCATAGATATTAATTCGTTATCCACAGAATCATGATAGTATGCAGTCTTCAATATTGTATAAAATAGTAATACCACATCTTCAACTAACCCACCTTTTTAAAGCCCTTCAAATTTTCTTTAAAAATATTCATGTTTCATTCAGAAAAACAAGAAATTTCTCAATATTTTTCAGAAAAGAAATCGTCTACTATTTTTAATTTTGTATGACAATCCAGTCTTTCATCTTGCTTTCATAACATAAAATAATTGCTAATTTTACAATATGCTATACATATCATTTAGTCTTTAAATTCGGTACAACATATACTGGTGTTGTTATTAATGTTTCCTTTCTTTTTACCGGTTTAATACATGTGCCACAGCGAATTCTAATTTTTAAAGCAACTGTAACTCGTTCATGCACAGATGAATATAGTATCAAAGATCCAATATTTTCTTTATCATTGTTAAAGTATTCCAACAAATTGAGGACAACTTGTGCTTGAGGTATCTAATTGGCGCAGAGAGAAGCGCGTTAATTTTTTAATCTTTTGTCTTCTTCTATTGTTGTATGGGCTCAGTTTTTCACTATTTTCCCAATTTTTATTTTACAAAAATCAACCAAAAGAGCCCTAACACGCGTTTATTGGCAAGCCAGGTGAACCTCAGATAGTATTAGTGAAAAACTGAGCCCATACACTTAAAGAAAAAGACAAGGAAAAAGGAAGAAAATTATACTGCGCCGTAATCTTAGACATATTGCCGAAATGACAATTTACAGTTTCCTTTGAAATAAAATCCTGCTTGTATTACTTGCTACCTAAACTGATAGATGGCGCAAATGACCATGTTTCCAGAGAGGACAATAACTTTTACATGGGGTAATATCTATACAGTACTCCTACTCTAACACCGATATTTTAAACAAAGTTTGAGTTACTAAGGACCGATTCCACCGTTGTGTTAAACGAAGTTTAAAATGACATTGTTAATGTAAAAATGTCATTTTAAATTTCGTTTAATACAACGGTGGAATCGGTCCTAAGTGAAATTTAAAATGACATGTTTACATTAACAATGTCATTTTAATCTTCGCTAAGTAATTTAAACTTTGTTTAACAAAACGGTGGAATCGGCTCTAACGTAACATAATAATTAGCTTTTAATTAATATATTCACATTTCCCTTGACTTTCAACTCTCAAAACTTGTTGATTGGTAAACAGTATCAAGTTGCAGAGGTAATTTGATAGCGATATTTACCCTTGGTGTTTGTATTTGTTGGTGGTTTCGCGTTGGCATATAGCGAAATAGTTACTAAGTTTAATAAGTGACAAAGTTATCACTCATTTGAATTAGATGTTTACATTTAGTAACTTCTTTTCATTCGATAAAACTTTGTACTTAATGTTGGACGAATTGAACTAGAAAGTGTAGATAAAGGAACTAGAGTAAACTATTATTATCGTCAATAATTTGTTTCTTAGAATGGATTCTTTACAACTTTATGAGCTCATAAAAGCTTTAATTTCCTACCTACTAAGCATTCCAAATTTTGTAAAAAATTTGGTTTTAGAACACATTTTTACTAAACCAATTCTGATTAACGATCACTTGCAAGTCAATATGGCCGCTCGTAATGCGACCCGCTTTGAGCAATCTATATAACTATTTTTATTACATTATTGTCCAGATAAAAATTAAAATAAATTTTATAATCAAATACATGACATAGCTAGAATTATCATTCTGTATAGTAAAAAGTTTTTGTTTCACACAATAAATGGCAAATAAATATCAAATAAAAATTAAGACAAACTATGATTGGCCATAAAATAATTAAGATTACAAAAATTCTAATATCAGTTATACAAACATTTTGGTAAATTTCGAAATTTGAATTAATTAAGAACTAATTAATAACTTTCTCTTGAATAAAATAGATCTCTAAAAGGAGAAATTATTATTAAATAAAGTTTTGGCAATATGTCATAATTTTTAACCAATTTTATTGGCAGAATCAATTTTTCTGTAAAATCTAGGAATCAAAAAATTGATCTTGCAACGTTGGCATTCTAACGACCTGTCAAATTGCTGTCCGTGGGTAATGACAGGTTATGATATGGCAACCCCGTGATTTGCTATTTGACAGAGTCAATGTTATAAATAGTTATATAGATTGATCATCCATGTTTTTCAAATTAAACATAAGCTTATTCCTTTAAGGACCGATTCCACCGTTGCGTTAAACGGAGATTAAAATGACATTATTAATGTAAAAATGTCATTTTAAACTTTGTTTAACACAACGGTGGAATCGGTCCTAAGTAAAACTGCAGGTAATTATTGTTTTAAAAGGCTGAAAATTGGTTTTAAAACACATTTTTGCTAAACCGATTCTGATTAATGAGCAAAACTGTTAAAAAAGCCATTTACATTTAGTTAATAACAATGTTGCCAGAATGTTTTGTTATGTATCAGATTTGTCTAAAAACTGTGCAAGATTCCATAAAAATGTACCAGGTTTTTCGAATTCTATTTGCAGCACATACTTTGATTACTATACGGTCCAAGAGAGAGGTCCGACACGCCCAACATAGGGCGCGGCACATACGATTTTCTTTTACTATACGGAGAATGATCACACTGCGCAGCTTTCTGAGTGCCTTTTAAAAGGAGATAGAAAACTCTTGGCGCAATATTTTTAATAGATGCGTTTTAATCATCCGTTTCTGCTTCGGAATTGTCGATTGGGCGTGTCGGACCTCTCTCTTGCACCGTATAGTAATCAAAGTATGTGGGGCGCGGCCATTTTGATGCTTTTACTACAGTTTATAACTAAAGAATCAGTTTGCTCACTCTGCGTCGGCACTTTTGATCTCAATGTTCCAGTTTATACACTGCGCAACTCGGATAATACTGTATATGACAACCGCCTTTAATAAAACAGCAGTCTTCTGCGCATTCTGAATTGGTATTCCTGGAGTGGATGTTATTTTGGAACTTTCAACTGGTCCGAGTGAGCTAACTGATTCTTTAGCAATAAACTGTGACTCCAAAAATAATATTCTCAGCAAGCAAAATATTAAAAATAATGCGCCAAGATGTAGGCAACACGTAATAAGGCATCAAAATGGCGGAGTTTTCTATCTCCTTTTAAAAGGCACATTCTCCGTATAGTAAGAGAAAATCAATGTATGTGATTTGCAGTGACGGTTTGGTTGAAGAGCAAAGAAAAAGATAGATAACGACCACAAAGGAAGACATAACAATATATTTTACATATGTCAAATGGAAACGCACTGCTGAACGCCGGTGAAGAAAAAGTACTAGATTTTGCTTAGAGTGTACTAGAGTAACAGATTGTATTAAATCGGCAACACTGGTCATCAACAGTAACTGATAGTACCAACTGCCAATATTGGTGAATAATGAAAGGTACTAAATGAAACAGAACCGGACTTGAAATTATTATAAGTAATTTATTTTTAAAACGTAAAAAAAAGAACATTTTCATTTTATTTGATTTTACGGAATTGTATGAATTTTATTTCAGTACAAAAAATAGCAATATAAGGTTTTATTGTTTATTAATAAAAATGTAATAAGAATATTAATAAATTTGATAATTTTTATGGTGAACAGTTTTTTTATGTAATGTGATTTTCTACTACTACACATACAGGGAGATCTAGAGTGAATGAGTAAAACTACAATTTTTCAGACACAAATGAATCCACCTCGAAATAAACGATGAAAGAGAAAGAAAGAAAGATAAAGTGAATGATTAGAGAAAGAATAAAAGGTAAGTGTTTTTTTTTTAACAAATAAAACATAATTGGGCGAATTTGGGCGAATTATTTTTTCCAGTCTAATCCAATCCAAAGTAGAGTGATTAAATAAATCGTAACACTATATAATATATTGTTACCCTGTCCCCTGCAGTAGCCTGCGACTATTATTGGAGACGTATGAATAAAAGAAGAAGTTTAATATCACCCATGACCATATACAGTGTGCTGCGGTTGTCATATATGAAAGTACGAATAAAAGAAGAAGATAGAACAGTCTAGAAATGTCATTCCGTGTCAAGAAACATCTGGACGATTCGAGAAGGTTCAAGGGAGCTATATAAGTTTAGTTTAATGAGATACGCTGTACGTCAGTTGTATAGTTGAGTTGAAATAAATTGAATTACCAAAAACCAGCGTAACAATATCATTGACCCTGTCAAAGCCAAAAGGCACCCATTTGGACAGGTAGTTTGGAATGCCTAATATTGTATTGTTAAATTTTTGGATGATATATCAATAGTTTTATTTATGTCGCTTTGATACTTACTTTGATAAAAGGTACATCCAGTCATACATCCGACAGAGCTGCTGGTCTGCGTAGACCTAGCCATGGAGTAATTTCCCATCAGAGGACTTTCGCTTCTAGATGGCACTAACATAGGTTGATAATTATTTGCATAAGGATTTTTTGTTATTAAATTGTGATGTCCATTAGTATTGCAATACTGTTCATCAACGTGATGCATCTTCTGCTGATAAACCGGTTCTATATATTTCTTATTAATTTGATTTTGGCCGTATCTATAATATTCGTTCGTTTGATAATTGCTCGCAGGAAGAGGCTGAGGCTGTTGGTAGTTTTCTATGTGGTTGTATGGAATGTAAACCATCGTTTGATGGTATGTCCTCGAAACTTCTTGGGGTGGTGGCGATAAAGGTCTGTTATTTCTTAATTTCTGTAAACAATCTACTTCTACTCCTATATTAGCTTGATATACATCTTTGTAGCAATTTTGGTTACCGCAGCTTTGGTAATTGTCTTGAAGGGAGACCGGTCTGTACTGGTAACCTCGAACTTTGGCATCATCTGGTATTTGGTACTGCGTAGACGTATTTTGCTTAGAATTGATTCTGTTTGCATCGTCTTCACGATTCAATCCAGTTTCTGAGTAATATGGCCAAGCGATATTTGCATTAGTGGGAGGCAGTTGTATTTGGTTTTGGATTTGTTGTAAAATTTCAGTCGTGGAACCGAATCTTGGTTTGATTCCACGTACGCTTGGCCGATGATTGAAGCCGTAATCATCGTTTTCATCATCTTCTTGTTTGGAAGGGTCGTTTTCGTATCTAAAAAATAGAAATATCGTATACAAACACATTTAAATTTTGTAGCTATCTTACTTTTTCTTAATTCTTTCTATCCTATTGGCGTCTTGCTGGACAAAAACGACTAGTTCATCTCCGGATTCGGAAGCAGGAGTACCAGCGAGAACATCAGGAGCGCATTTCTTGTTTTCTTCATTAACTAGGGCTTCATCTATGTCGTCTAGAGTGTATTCACTGCCTGTGGAACTGATTACAGAACCGTGACTGCTCAAATGATAATAATGTTCATCAGGTTGTCCCATTCCACTGACGCAAGCTGTAAGTGGTGCTAAATTTGATAAAAATTGCTTTCTATTTTCGTTGATGGCACTTGATTTGTTTATGTCTTTGTCCGTTAAGATTTCTTGGTTGAATGGACCGCCAATGTCTGGTAAAGTTTGAGTTTGCACGGCTCTTGGTTCGTATGTTGGTTGCGGTGATGTTTCTTGCGGTTTTTCACGCGATTTTCCAAAGATATCGCTTATTTTCTTATATGTAGAAGACATAGATGAATTGGAACTAGCGGTCGATGAAGATGATGGAGAAAAATTCCTAGGTTCTTTGTTTTTATTTGATATCTACAAACAAAATATATTATTAGGAAGGTCTGATGGGAAGGAGTGAATAAATTTACTTACCATGCTAGTATCGGTACCATTGCCTTCTTCTCCAGTAGGACTAACCCTAGCTGACAAATCATCGGAATCCTGGCTTATATCGTCAATATCACAAGTCAATTGCTTTATTCGCTCTACTAAAGAATTATCAGTCTTTTGCAAGTGTTTCTTGCTTTTTGGCTCGTATCGAAGAAGTGACCGTCTAAGAGTATTTCTCTCGATGACCTTCTTAATCGAGTCTGTGGTACCGGCATTCTGAATCATTTGCGGCAGCTTGGACCGTTTGGCTTCTTCGAAAGCTTTTAATGATTCGGCTGTGACTAGATATTGCTGGTCCTCTTCCTGTCCGGATTTCGGAGCGAGGGCTTTGGTGCAGGGAAATAGTTGTCTAACTGCGGAATTTGGCTTAAGACTGTTATTGGAGATTAAAACGTGATTACCTGAAATTTTCGATGTTATTATCAATGAATAGATTTTTTAAACGTGACTTAATTACCTAGTTTAAAGGTTAGCATCATTTCAGTGGGTTCTAGCACGGTGGGTTCCGAAATAACTTCAATTTTGTTAATTGAAGCCTCTTCTTCTTTGGTCGATTCTTTGCCTTCTACCTCTCTATATGTGTCCGGTGAAGATTTGCAACTGTCCTTCTTTTCTTCCTCAATAAAGCGAACGGTTCTTGTAGACGATTCTTCATCAGACATTGAGTCTACTTTCTGTCAATTAAAAAGATGGTTTAAAAATAAAACATAGAATAAACAATGTTGTATAAAATTTGAAGAATAGGTAATAATATCCACAATCGAGATAAAAAAGAATGAAAGTTCGTTTGAAATTGTGGAATACGACTTTTTAAAGCAAAGAAGTTTTCTTGGTACCAAGTCTAGAGAAGTTAATGAATAAAATTGAAAATAATCTTATTTTGCGCGCAGTAAAATTGTTTACAACTCCTTGATTGCATTTAGGCGTTACTCCAAGCATATAAAAGATTTGAAACATTATTATATCCCCTAATAAGCTAAAGGCAATATAAGACGTATCGCCTATTTTTAACAGATTTCAGAAAAGGAGGAGGTACTCAATTCGTTGTATTTTTTTAACAACTTCAAAAAAGGAGGAGGTTCTCAATTCGTCGTAATATATTTTTTTATGTATGTCCAGCGATAATTCTTTAACACAGTGTCCGATTTCAATGATTCTTTTTTATTAGAAAGGGGGTACTTTAGGGGTGGTCCCATATTAATTTGGTTAAATCTAATAATTGGGTCCATTAGAAAATCCTCAAACTCATTTTTAATGTATGTTTACCGGTAATTCTTTAGCATCTTGTACAATTTCTATGATTTTTTTTGTTAGTAAGAGTGTACCTCAGAGGTAGTCCCATATAAATTTGGTTAAGATATGGAGACGGCATCTGAACGATTTTTTAAATTTTAAATTTTTAATACTCGTTTTTATGTATGTTCAGCGATAATTCTTTACCACCTTGTTCGATTTCTATGATTCTTTTTTGTTAGTAAGGGGGTACCTCAAGGGAGATCCCATATAAATTTGGTCAAAATCTAATAATTGAGTCCATGAGAAAAATCCTCAAACTCTTCATTTCTTATGTATGTTTAGCGATAATTCTTTACCACCTTGTTCGATTTCTATGATTCTTTTTTGTTAGTAAGGGGGTACCTCAAGGGAGGTCCCATATAAATTTGGTCAAAATCTAATAATTGAGTCCATGAGAAAAATCCTCAAACTCTTCATTTCTTATGTATGTTTAGCGATAATTCTTTACCACCTTGTTCGGTTCGATTTCTATGATTCTTTTTTGTTAATAAGGGGGTACCTCAAGGGAGGTCCCATATAAATTTGATTAAAATCTAATAATTGAGTCCATGAGAAAAATCCTCAAACTCTTCATTTCTTATGTATGTTTAGCGATAATTCTTTACCACCTTGTTCGATTTCTATGATTCTTTTTTGTTACTAAGGGGGTACCTTAAGGGAGGTCCCATATAAATTTGGTCAAAATCTAATAATTGAGTTCATGAGAAAAATCCTCAAACTCTTAATTTTTTATGTTTATTTAGCGATAATTCTTTACCACCTTATTCGATTTCTATTATTCTTTTTTGTTAGTAAGGGGGTACCTCAGGGGTAGTCCCAAATAAATTTGGTTAAGATGTGGTGACGGCATCTGCATGATTTTGAATTTTTTTTTTAAATTACTTTTAATACTTGTTTAGCCAAAATATCAAAGATTTGTTTTCATGAGATAAACAATTGTATCTAACGGTTTTTGGGGTCATTTATTTTAAATATGAGATTAAAAACTAGAAATGCAAAATGGCGGATCCAATATGGCGCACGAAAATATTAAAAATTGCTTCTTTTACATATAAAACAAACATGGAGGGTTTCTTACGGGTTTTTGATATCAATGATTTTATATATCACATTATAAATTAAAAATGCAAAATGATGGATCCAAAAATTGCTTTTTTTTACACATAAAAGAATCCTAAGAGGTTTTCGTGGTCTTTGGTTTTAAATATGACTTTAAACATTAAAGATGGATTGTTAATATAAAATTCAATTGCAAATATCCAAGGAAAATAAGTAACTAATTATAATAAATACCAACCCTCACTCACTTTCAATTTATATCGTTCATAACTATAATATAGTTTTTTTCAATATTTTGTGGAGTATTTAAATACATGTAAAATCATTAAATCTATCTAGAAATAATTCTACTTTCAGTGGTATTTGATTTAACTGCCGTTATAACATTTAAAAAAATATATTTGTATAGGTCTATTTTTAAAAACCACTCTAATGATTTTTTTCATTAACTGGCAACTCTTTTTACATTTAAAATGTAGTAACATCTATTAAAAGACAACTATATCATAGTTTTATTAGAAAAGGCACTGGTACTATTGGGAGGATACTTACCATGAGCTGTTCATTTGGTTTTGTGTAATTTTCTCCGCTGGCTTGTCTCCACAATCGTCCACCTTTTAGGATACCAGTGACAGGAGAATCAGCGGATGGTAAAGGTTTCAAATCTTCAAGTGGTATTTCTTCATCTACAGAAGATTCCTGACCATAAGTTACTTCATCTGCAACAATGTTTAAAGTTTGTGTTGTTTTTATAACGATATAACAGTATTTTATGGTTTTAATTTAATTGTAGAATTATGTTATTATAAATTAAAATAATTATGGTTTAGCAGGAGTGACTATAAGAAATAGTATACAACTGCAGCGTTATCTAGCAGTTAGTCTTCAATTTTATAATATTTAATTTGTTTTGAAATATATTTAATTTTCCTAAGGAAAAAACGAATCCCGGGATTCCTTTCCAGTGTGTGTCCCACTGCCGCTAGTGCCTACGAGCCGCCGCTGTTTTTTATTATCGAATTTATTCCATTTGTCTATTCCACACTGTATATACTATACTGGACACATAGGTATACAGGGTGTCTGTAAAAGGTCTTTACAAAAACATACATATTCCTTAGACCAAAATAAGTCGATTTAAGTAAAATTACCTTAGTACAAAGTTGCTTCGTTTGGGCTCCAGAGGGCCTTGAAGTTACAATTTTTAAATCGTTTTTCCCATATAAATTTAAAACGGCATATGCGATTTTGCTGAAATTTAATATATTGGTAGAGTTTTATGTGGCAAAAAAAATGGTATTAAAATTTTATCCGATAATAATACATAGGCGTAGAACTTGATTTTTTAAATAATTGCACCTTTAAAAATTCTACGCCAATGGAAGAAAAGGAGTTTGAGTATGAAATTTAGATTGCGCAACTCATTTACTTTAAAACATGTACTCTTGATAAGACTCGATTACTCTCATGGTTTTGACGAAATTTGCATTTTAGTAATTTTAGAACATAAACAATAATTATTAAAATACAAACTTTGTCAAAACCATGAGAGTAAATTGAGTGTTATCAAGGGTACTTTTTTGTAGTAAATGAGTACCCAATCCAAATTTCATACTCAAACCCCTTTTTTGCCATTGGCGTAGAATTTTTAAAGGTGCAATTATTTAAAAAATCAAGTTCTATGCCTGTGTATTATTATCGGACAAAATTTTATAGGATGAAAATGTACTTTTTTCATATCTTCTTCAACACCTCTAATCGAGACTTTTAACAAAAATAGCAATTATTTGCCTGCAATATGTATACAAAAACATTTATTGTTGGTTTCCATAGTTTCATCTAAATAAAAATATTGTCAAGTTTTAACACCTAATCTCTTGTTAACGATGGAAAGTGTTCTATCTGACTCAATAATTAAAAAAACAAATGCGTGGTTTATTAATATGGCTGTACAATATACCAATGCAGCATATACCGATATATTACTGACATTAGGATTTTGTGAAGGAAATGTTCGAGAGAGTGTCAGGGTGTACTTTGAAAGGTTTCCAAATCGTCGTGTACCTAGCCACCCAACTTTTGCTGCTGTTGAGAGACGTCTTCGGGAGACCGGTTCCTTTGCTCCCAACACTGTTGGTAATGGAAGAGAACGTTTTGTAAGGATTCCTGAAGTTGAAGAAGACATTTTAGAACGTGTTGAAGAAGATCCAGAATTAAGCACCAGACGAATTGGGAGAGAACTAGGAGTAAGTAAAGATGTCGTTCATAAATTGCTTAGAGAACAATTGCTATATCTATACCATAAAAAGCCAGTACAAGAATTATTAGTCCATGATCCTCAAATTCGTTTGGGTTTTTGTCGATTTGTTAATATGCAAAGACAAAGAGATCCAAACTTTGTCAAGAAGGTTCTCTTTACCGATGAAGCGGGTTTTACAAGAAGAGGTATAACTAATACCCATAATGAACATGTTTATGCCGTTGAAACTCCGCATGCAATAAAGGTAAACCATTTTCAGCACGAATTCAAAATTAATGTGTGGGCTGGAATAATTGGTAATTTCATTGTTGGTCCTGTCATACTTTCACGAAGATTAACTGGAGAAAATTATTTGGATTTTCTACAAAATACGTTGTTAGAATTGTTAGAAGATTTACCTTTCCAACTTCGGAGAGATATGTGGTTTATGCAAGATGGAGCTCCACCACATTTTTCTTTAAACGTTAGAAACCACTTGAATGAACAATATCCACACAAATGGATAGGCAGAGGTAATGACGCACCTGTAAACTGGCCACCACGTTCCCCAGACCTAACACCGATGGATTACTTTTTATGGGGATATCTGAAATCCACAGTTTACAGGGAACCTGTAGAAAATGAGGAACAACTCTGGCAACGTATTCAAGATGCAATAAATAATCTTAGAGGTGATGAAGAAGTTATGGAAAGGATACATTTTAATTTTCTTCGACGTATAAATCTTTGTATGCGTGAAAATGGTGAACATTTTGAACAATTTTTGTAAAATCTCTATTTTGATTATGTTGTAAATAAATATTTTTGTGAAACCTATACACTCTAAATTATTAAAACAGAAATTTAGCGAAAACCATGAGAGTAATCGAGTCTTATCAAGAGTACCTTTTTGAAAGTAATCTAAATTTCATACTCAAACTCCTTTTCTTCCATTGGCGTAGAATTTTTAAAGGTGCAATTATTTAAAAAATCAAGTTCTACGCCTATGTATTATTATCGGACAAAATTTTAATACCATTTTTTTTGCCACATAAAACTCTACCAATATACCAAATTTCAGCAAAATCGCATATGCAGTTTTAAATTTATATGGGAAAAACGATTAAAAAATTGTAACTTCAAGGCCCTCTGGAGCCCAAACAAACCAACTTTGTACTAAGGTAATTTTACTTAAATCGACTTATTTTGGTCTAAGGAATATGTGGTATGTTTTTGTAAAGACCTTTTACATTACATTAAATAAATAAAAATAATAAAATAATTACTACGCCACTGAGTGGAGTAAAAAAATGTAAAATTTTCAAATAAAAAAAAAAAACTTTACCAAAATTATTTGGAGAGGTAGGTGTCGTTTGTTGACTTTGGTCGATTTTTTCTTTATCAATTTCATCTTCTAAATCTATCTTTGGCTTATTAATATCACTAATTTGTTGACAGTTATCACCTGGAAAGAAAAAAAAATGAATTAACATATTTACAAAGCACAATTTTTTGATTATCCATTTAAAAGATTTATATAAAACAATACAAAGCATATTTGAAGACACAAGTGGATGAAAGGCCTATGCAACATTTTTTTAAATGGTGTTTTTCTGTGAATGAAGGGTTTATGTACCTAAAATTCATTTAAAATGTCTTCCCTGACAATATATCATCAAATATAGAAGTTGCCAGTGGATAAAGGACCCATGTATTAGGGAATAACTGCTAAACAATAAAATTTAACATGAAATATCTCGTAAAAATTATTTTGCTACATAGGCCCTTCATCCACTTGTGTCTTCATTTACACCTAGGCAAAAGTGAGTAGGTTTATTCCAAATGTTTCCTAAAAAAATGTACTAATACCTATATCTAAAACTGGTAAAATAGTTTTTTCGAAATTAAACAATAGAGTCACACAAATTAAAGTAAAAAAAAATTACCCATTATTCTATAAATACCGAACTGTAAACAATGGTCTCTTCAATGCTTCTGTTGCCGTAAAAACTGTGGTAATTTCTTATCTCGCTATTCATTAACATTATTTCTTATTTTAGTGTATAATTTGAATTAACCAGTTGTACGCTAAACACTTAACTATCTCTGACCTACTATATCGTTGTTGCACTTTGTATATATCTAGATTTCACTTTCGGTTGAATTTACAGTTTGTTTCCTTATATAATTGCGAAATTTGAATTGAATTAAGAGGATAGGTACATGATTCCGAGAAGGGTTTCGTAGAACTACTAATTCAGCTGAATGCAACAACGTTGATTAAAATTTAGTAGCTTGATATTCAGAGTTGGTATAAAGTACGGAACCAAATAAATATCATAACCAAAACGTGATAATGTTGAAAATTTGCAGGATGATGAAATGACACATATAGGACATAATCCTGCGACTTTTTTGTTGTTGAAATATACATCTTGTTTTTCGAATTCGTTTGTAATGAGTTTGGTATGAGTATTTATTTGGTTTCCGTTTGGTTCCATACTTTATGCCAACTCTGTATTTTCACAGAATGAATAATTTGAATTTTATGGCATTGAAATATTTCACAATCATCTAGGTAAATTTTAGTTAAAGTTTATTTTTAGTAAAAGTAAATATATGTAAAGTTGACATTATCCAAATGAGGAGATAATATTGAGAATAAAAATAAATGATTTTCTTCATGGTTACTACTGAATGTAATTCTTCCTAAACCACTAATAATAGCAGAAAGAAAACATTCTCGCTCTTGAGATTGAAAGAAAATTCTAAAACAAATGCCTCTTATGTATTTTAGATGTATTTCATTCTAAATCTAGAGACAGAATGTTCATTTTGTAATGGCTGTAAATACCACGCCCGCATCCCAGATAGTCATGAATTTTTTGTTACTTGGGATTTTTAGATTAATCTTTGCCGTAAAAATATTTTTTGTACTTTTTCAATATGATCAATATGTGTGGTTTTCAAGAGCATCCATATTTGTGAAACACTCAAGATGGAGTCTTACTAAGGCATTATTATAATCTGATTTTAGTGGTAAGCCTAAAATTTTTTGTATTTCAACAAATTTCTATAGGTACACCAAAGACATTACAACTAAGAGACCAAATTGTTTACATTTTTATGTGGCAAATCATTATTCCCACCAAATTCTCGTTTATTGGGTCTTTGACGGTTTTATCAGTTTGTAAAAATTATTTGGAGAAATTACTTTCGAAAAATGAAATTTGATGTATCCTATAACTATAATTTTATATTATATAAAATAAAAATATGTTTTTAATCAAATTATTCTTTAAAGTTTTAATAAAAGCTAAATTTTTTATTAAAAATGAATATTAATCTAAACAAAATATTAGGGTTGCAAAGAACTCTGTAAATACGGCAACGATGAATATCTTATTTTACGAATTTATAACTTTTATGAATGAAATGTAGTTACCGTAACCAGCCGCAACGTTGCCAACCGGGTCTAACAGCTATTTTGTATTTCTGACAGTTTCTGTGTGACTTATTGATTTATTCATTTATAAAATACTATTTTTGTGAACTTTTGTGAGAAATATAAAGAATTAGGGTACATGAATGTGTAGTGTTCAATAAGGTAGATCATTTAAATCGAAATTTATCCTCTCATTGGTAAGTATTTTTAGGTTAAGATATGTTGTTTTCATTTGAACCAGATTTAGTTTAAAATGGTGTGTGAGGGTATTCGATATCAATAGGTATAAGTTTATTTTTTACTTCTACGTACGTAAATTTGATATAAATTTATGGTTTTGGTGACGATACAATAATATGGCTCAAAATTAATAGGAAAAACGCCTTGCAACAATGACACGTTATCCGAAATGCAAAGGTTAAGAACCCTAGCCTAAGTGTGCGTGATTAAACATTTAAAAATAATTTTTATAAAAAACTTTTTAAGCACAAGCTTTTATTAAATGCACTCAAAAGTAGAAAATATTTTTTTTGATTTCTGATACCATAATAAAAGCGATGGGCGCAAATTGAAACAATTTCATATTTTAAGCCTACAATCACAAGTGAAAATACGAACTTTATTAGGAAGTACATACGTGCATTGCATAGGTCAAAAACCATCTTATTTTTTCCTCTTTGACTACATTATTATCAACCCTCAAAAATAAAATCGAGGACCAAGACCTGTCACCATCTCTCAGTCTAGATAGGAATGGATATAATATGTAGGGAAGTTACATATCAACTGCATTACTTATGAATATTTGTTTGCTCTTTACAGGTAACACTTGTCCAGTACAATACAGTTCATAATAAAATGAAAAAAATAGTTGACAAGAGAGGAGTTGAGAAAAGCCGGTGAAGAAGAATAAGCGGCAATAGCTCAAGAAAAAGGAGATGTCGATTCGACTAGCACGCCATATATAACAGTTATTGCAGATGGAGCATGGTTTAAAAGATCATATAAGACAAATTACAACTCATCTAGAGTAGCTGTTATTATTAGATAAGCCACCAAAAAGGTTCTATTTATGGGAATCAAAAATAAGTTTTGCACAATATGCTTAAAATTTGAAACTAAAAACGAAGATGCACCTCAACATGTGTGCCAGGAATTGGAAAGGGTCATCGACATCTATGGAGAGTGCGATTATTCTTGACGGGTTCCAACGTAGCGTTGAGATGCATGGATTAAAGTATACAACGCTAGTTGGTGATGGAGACAGTAGCATAACTAAAAAATTGTCTTCACACAAACCTTATGGAGCCACACCTATTCAGAAAATTGAATGTGTAAACCATTTACTAAGGAATTTTTGTAATAAATTAAAAGATTTGTCAAAGTTAAGGACAAGTCCATCAAGCCATCTAATGATTCCGTTAAATTTGATAAAAAAAATTGGAATCAAACATATTAAGATTTCGAATATCAATAAAAAAAGGCGGCTGCTTTTCGTATTCAGATGATTGTAAATACCACGCCCGCATCCCAGATTGTCATGCATTTCCCCTAAAAATCGTTAGTGTGGATTTACTTACATTAAAGCAAAATGAAACAAATTTAATTTATGTTGGATTTTCATTGTATACACGTGTACTTACTATTAGAAAATCAAAAGTTAAACGAATGAGGCTTAAACTTTTAGTGATATTATTTTAATTCTAAAAACACTCTAAAATACAATCTATAGAGTTAAATTTATAAACATTTTCCGGAGAAGCACCCCTGTTACTCTGGACCCCCATTTTAACTATTCTTTAAAAGTTTCTCTAAAAGTTTCCCTCCCAAATATCTGGTGCAAATCCACCCCTGCCTTATTAAGCAAAATCATAGTTGAAGTCTTGAAAATAATTGTTTTCTGGAGGAAAACGATCTGGTATTATTTTGTAATTTAACTCAGATTGGGGATTTTAAGTTAAATTGGGGTAATAAGAAGTTTATAATGGTTTTATAGATTGAAGGGTTATTTTTAGATGATTACAATTAAATTTAATCAAGATTGATCATAAATTCATTTTCATTTTCTGACTTTAAATTTATAATTAAATATTATTCCAATTGGTTTGGTTTACATTTTACGTTTTAGTCAGATCTGAGTTTAGAATTATTATCCTTTTTGCTTTCCTGTATCTAGTAAGAAAAGTATAGAAATAATAAGTTTATTCAACCTCGAGTTTTCGATGGATCTTTACGTTTAAGGGTCCCTTCATTTCGTAATTTTCTACATTAATCCACGTATCTCGTTTTTTTCAATGTTTGCGTAACTTTTTAAAAAGCACAGGCTCTCAATGAAAATTAAAACCGAATAACATCCCGTCTAAGAACGGCGTTTAGTAAACGGATGTTGAAAATGTAAAATCTCATGTTGGGAAATGAGGAAAAGTAATAAAAGGTGAGCTCTGTTTACATACCTAAGAGTAATTGAAAAAAATGAACATGCTGAAGTAGCGACAAGGTGCAAAGCGGATGAGGAAACGGGATATTTTACAGTACATTGTGGACGTTGCCTGGCATTATGTGTAACATAAAAAAAAACAAGGAAACAACGAAACGTGTTATTCTGGTAAATATCCACTGGAAGCTTTCCATTACTCTAATTGGCCACCACAATTTCATATACGAAGAATTGTTTTATTTATTTTTGGCCCCACTTAAATATTGATAATTTTTGGGTAAACATTTTTTGATCCAATGAAATACCTATTGTTTCGTATTTTTTTCTGTTGTTATATCCTGAAGCAAATACGCAATATTAGTGATTACGTAATTTGTGTTCCTCTGACAAATGTCACTAAAATAGAGATTATCAGTAGTCATTAACATATCTGTGATCTATGGTAAAAAGACATGAAAACATTTTTGGTGATATTGAGTTGTAAGTACCTATAGTCTATTTTTATGTATGAGAGAGTAATAAAACAGCATTTCTAATGCAAAACTTAGTACAGTCATTTTAAATATTTTTACAGAATAATCTA